TGACAATAGAACGAGCCGAGAGGCAGATGCAGAAAACCAGGAGCAGTTACAAGGAGAAAATAAGGAAAAACAGTAGGAGAAGTGGAAGCGAAATCAGCCATCCACAAGCAGAATCAGCAGCAACAATGCAGAAACAATAGATTTCAAGACCGATAGATCAAATACCCTTGTACAGATCAAAGAAATGGATCGAGGCATTAATGTGTCTCGAAATAATTGCTTGGGAATAAGGTATTCTTTGGGTGGCGATACTTAACAAGACATAATTGTTTTTCTTTTCTTTTTTTTTAATAGAACTTAAGAATATCTAACTTTACTGAAAAATAGTAGATCTCATCTCGAAATTTCTATACCTCAACTTTAAGATTTATACCACAAACAATGGAACCTTTTTGCTGCCCTACAATTACTTTCATTATTAATAACCTCAGGGTTAGTCAAGAGTGCATAATTTCTATGCGATTAAAAGGAATACCCCGCTGTGCAAGATTTTCTGACTGAGAGCATAATGTCCGCTAAAAGGGTAAAATAAAGATTCGCAGAATGAAATTTTCAAAAACGACTATGGCGGCGCCGTTTGCAGCAGCTCCTACTTAGCAATTGTTGTTGTGAAAGGAAAGGGGCTGCACAAGGTGGAAAGGAGTCGAGGATACTGAGGTCATGCCAGTCAACCGAATAAATGAAACAACAAAGACTGAGATACAGACACAAGCGCACACTTACCGCCACATAAAATATGCGAAAGCATAAGGCTGTCCCCCTTGCCTCCTTTCCACGGCAGAGGAGGTCTCTCCAAAGTGTCCTACGATGTGTCCCAGACTCATAGTCGCAGTCTGAGCTCTCGCATATAAATATACATTTTTTTTCTTCGCTATAGCTCGGTAAAATGAAATTTACTGGAGCGAAAAAAATTGTATGCTGTTTCTTGGGTATAAACTGGATGCTGAGTGCTCGGTTCTGGTGACTCTGCAGGGTTATAATGTGGATAAATCCCATTAACGCATGATTTGGCAAAAAGTTGTCAATGCGAATTATTTTCTTGTTTCGTTGGTGATTTATGTTTGGCTAAAACAGATTATGTGTGCTAAATAGTCGCCAATTAAATTTATGTATATATATTTATTGATTGGAAATAATATTTTATAGAAGGAAGGAATAATTATAAGTATAGTATAAATCAGACAAATGCGTTAAAGGACCTTAAAAGGTCAGGTATTCTTTCTGCAATAGTAGCCTTTTTTATTGTACACATTTAAATCAATTAGATCTTGCTCTTTGCAAAGGCAGCTTAACAGCCCGAATTACCTCCAAGGCGCACTAGAAAACATTTCCTTGAGCGAGTTGAAGGAGGGGGATTGTGATGCCACTACAGTTGCACAGAGGGAAAACAGCAAAAACACTTTGCCACCACTACCTTTCAGTTTACATTTTTTCCCAGCTGCCTTCCTCCACTCCGTTTTTCTTGTACTTGTGCTGCAGTTACGTCTGTCGTTCAAAGCGACTAAAATTTTACTGACTTTGACAAGCTGCCTCCTGGCCTGACCCCCTTACATCGCCCCCGCCTTACAGAGAACCTTCTGAACCCCGATCCCCCAAACCCCCAGTGTGTGTGTGTGCACTCAGTCAGAATTGTGCCTTGTAAATAGGATTCATCTCGCGACGAGTCGCGACCAACAGCCGCTTGGCTCTGCCCCGGCACGAAATGCAAAATATTACGCGGCTCGGCTCAGAATCTGTGTGCACTGAAACAAATATGGGTCAGAAATGAGGAATTTTAAAAAATATGATTAAAGCTTAACTTTGTGACCAGACGTTGGGATACTCATCTGTGTGAAATTACTTAAAAATGGGTTGTAATAATAAAATTACCTCACTCAAAAAAAACTTGATATGAAACGATGATCGATTTTACGTTTAATGGTGTCAAATTTGACTTGCGCATATCGATTTGACCGCAACGGTTGAAAATTGTAAACATTTTCAAAAATTTCGCGTATAAATTAAAATTTGTTTGTTGTTTTTTTAATTTTAATAATTAAATTCTTACTGAAGTTGAAGAAAGGAATGTCTCTCCTACTTATTTGATTAGTGTAGTTATCCTTCAAAGGCGTTCTCAGACGCTTGATGTTGCTGTTGCCATTGCTGCCTCTGTTTTGCGCCCAGACACTCAAGTAAATGGCCGTCAGGCAGGCGGGAGTTGTCCTCCCAAAGACCCCCAGCCCAGCCCCCTATTTATTCGGCCAGCTTGCACAGTTTCCATCCATCTATCTATCTATCCGGCATCCATCCATGCATCCATACCGACCATTTTCGCCATGTCAGGCGGCAGCCAAAAGTGCGCTCATCTGTGGTTCGGCTGGCAAAAAGTTTGGCGTATCTATGTGTGTCTGCTGCGTTTGTGTGTGTATCTGTGTCTGCTTGTCAATTTATCCTTTAGTTTCTCTTTCAATTTTTTCCCATTTCATTTTGGCTTGCCACCCACTTGCCACCCAACTGCCTGTTAGTTTCGTTTGTGGTCTGCCTTTGTGTGAAATTACCAAGGGTCTGCCCTCTCGCTTCCTCTTCCTCCGCCCGAGCTAACTGTTTAATTAAAGACTGCAGAAAAGGGAGTTGTCGTATCAAAGATATCGCCATATATATATATATATGTATCCATCGGAACAGCCGTTATTATAATAAAGCCTTTGGATGTGGTAAATGCAATTATTAAGCTTTAATTGAGGTCTGTGTGATCTTCTAATTTAATTATTTATGTAGATTCTTTATAAAAATAATTAAAAACTAAATAGGGAGTAAAAAAGAACATGATATCTTAGCTTTTTCTAACAATAATAAACTCCAATTAAAAACCAGAAGTTGCTACTTTTAATTAGGGCCATAAAAGGTTGATCCCTCTGCAAAGAAGTATATTTTTATTTAATTACATAATTGAAATGAAAGTGCTGCGACAAAAGCGTCAAAGGCAAGTCAAGCTGAACGGGGGATTATCCGCGATTTCGCCATTCAGTTGAGAACACAGAGCACATATGAATGCAGATACGAGGTGCCTGGCGCTGTTGCTTTTGATTTGGACTTGTGGGCCATATCGGCTCTTCCCCCCGCTCCCCGCTTACCAATTCCAATCCCTATCCTTTGGTGGCTGCAAACAAACATCGCCCAGGCAACGAGCAGCAATACACACAAAAGGCAGCAGCATTACTCGTCGTTGCCAGGAATACATCACGGCCAGCAACGCACACAATCTCTCCTCGAACCTTCTGGCCATCTTGTGATGAGGATTGAATGGCAACGGCTGCTGCTCCTGCTGCTGCTGCCAGCGGGAGCCATTCGAAAGCCAAGGAGATGGATGAGGAGGCGGTGCTCTCTGTATAGGCAGATCCAAGGGGCGCTTGTTAAATTCTTTTGCATTTAGTTTTGCTGTCGATAATGATGCTGCGTCGGCAGCCGAGACTTGGAAACACTGATGCAGCGCAGCTCCTCCTGCGAAGGCACCTTCCTTTCCCACCTCCAAAACCCTTTCAGTTGCCGACAACGAGAGACGGTGATGTCGATTTTGATGCATGCTTATGTTTCGCTTATCCTCCTTTTCTTGTCTGTCTATACTCTATCGGAGGATAGGATGGATCACGCTTTAAGTTCATAACAATGGGCTTCCCGAAGGTCTCTTATTTTAGATGGTATATAGGAAAGATCTTAATTTTTAAGGAACAATTGATGTATCTTCTGGATAAATTGTTTATATTTATTAACAATTGGTTTCTTTTTAATAATGTTGAGAGATATACTCTTTCTGAAGATAATAAGTCTGTTATTTGGGATGGCATATAGGAAAAATCTAAATTTTAAGCGAACAATTGATGTATCTTTCTGAAACTATTGTTTTCATATTTATTAACAATTTCATAGTAATTACAATTGGTTTCTTTTTAATAATGAGAAGGAATATAATTATATCTCTTTCAAACTCTTACATAAGGGTATTATTGGACGCAACTTGGAGGCGGGTTGTTAACGCTCAAGTATTATATTCCCTTTTGCTTCTCATTTCTGGCGCTCTTCACTTGCATCTGCTGCCCGCCCCTTTTCATCCTTTCCCCCCCCTGGGTTTTCCTCCCTCACTTCACGTCGCTTTTCAGCTGCGGCAATATGTGTATGCAAATTATTCCTGGGAAGCTGCGAACCGAAGCTTCGAGAAGGAGGATTTAATACAATTTACTTGGACAAAGTAAGGAGTTATTGAACCATATGGCAATGTGCTGGACAAAAGAAATAATTTAATAAATTTAAATGGGCTTGTAAGGCCATAAAAGAGCATATCCGGTGGATTAACTCCTTCTAAGCTCGCTCGCCCGCTCCACACCTTCTCATCGACGCCTCGAGAGTTTCTGAAAGCGAGCTCCCAATTGAATTAAATGCCTGTCCAGATTGCCCATGCCTTTGGCCAATATTTTGAAAGCTGAAAGCAGAGCTTGCTCCTCTAAGAGCCCATAAAAAAGAATTCGAACAAAAGAAGAGTGTGAGAGGAGAAAAGATACTCGAGCTGAAGAAGTGCAAAGAACTCTCGAAATGAAACTGGTTCTGGCCCAAAACCAAATTGTATCTGGTCTTCAGTTCGGTTCGTCGTGTGTCGCTGTGTACGTAAGGTTGAGGGGCTCTTCTCATCTCAGCTGGTGTTTGAAAATGTGCTAAGTTGCCTCGCTTTTTGTATGCACAAAGGGGAACAGAAAGTAGGGCCAAGGGGTAGAGTAAACAACTTTGTGAAATGGCGGACAATTATGGGGAGATGCGCCGTGCTATCTGGCGAGAGATACTTGGAGAACCCGAGGACAGTTGCCACTTTGGTCACGTACCAAAAAACGATTGCAGCTCCAGATATGCCCGCATATACATACATACACACTCTGGCTCTATATATATATATTTGGGTCAACTTTGCGCCCGATTTTTGTAAGCAAATATTAATTTCGCCCTTGCGTTTTCGCTTTTTGTTTCGCTTCCAGGAATATTGTCTCCTCCGGGTCCGTTTCTGACGCCCAGTCCATCGCCATCGATCTCAGCTAGCCCTCGTCTGCAACCATCGCCATCGCTCTCGCCGTTCCCACAGGATGTGGTGCTCGTAGCCGGTGGCAGTCAAGTAAACGCCAACAGCAATCCCCAGGAACACGTAAGTTGATCTCGCCGAGAAACGACACGAAAATTCAAAAATAAAATGAAAATTTAATAACAAGAAAGGAAGTTATCTTTGGCAAGCCGAAGTTTAAAATAAATACCAGGAATTCCCAGTTATATTATGTCCATAAGATATAGGCTCGTTTCGACATATGTACTACCTGCAATAGAAAGAAGACTTTTGGGAAAGTTTCATCGCGATAGCTTTAAAACTGAGAGACTAGTTCGGACAGACGGACATACGGACAAACGGACATACGGACAGACGCACATACGGACAGACAGACAGACGGACATGATTAGATGGACTCGGGTATTGGTGCTGATCAATATAATACTTTTTTTTATAAAAATAAATAACTCCTTAAAAAATACTAGAGAAATGTAGAACTACCCTAACTTTGAAGAATATCTTAACTTAATTCACCCTTCCCTACTTTCTTACAGGAGCGCAAGGCGGCGACGCCTGGCAGGAGACAGTCCATCCACCAGTTCACCAATGGCAGTCCCAATGCTGGAACCGTCGTCTTCCAGCCGAGCCCCTCGCAATCGCCGGCCGCTGCCACGACGGTCATTGGCGTGACCAGTGGTGGCCTGATAGCCACCGCCGCCGGAGGAACTGGAGCGGGTCTAACTGCTGGCCTGGGAGGAGGAGCCGGGAGCAGTTCCGGAGTGGGAGTGGGAGTAGCGCTGCACGGAAATGCCATTGGGAACGAGCTGAATGCTACTCTGGTGGGATCCAATAATATCCAGCTCAATAAGGTGGGAATCGTAAGGGAGTGTAACCAATAAAGATTGAATTTTAATTATGTAACAATTGTCCATTACAGAAGGGCACAAAGCGGGCAACCCAGCAGCAGCAGCAACAACAGCAACAGCAACAGCTGGGCCACCAGATCTTCAGCAGCGCCGTCGCACCCACCTCGATCAGCAGTGCGACTGCGGTGGCAGCCGGCGGCGGAGGCTATGGACAGTTCAATGCCACCGCCATCAGCACGCCCACTTCGTTCGCCACCTCGGCCGGCAGTTTGGTCAGCAGCAGCGCCAAGGGTCCGGCGAAGGGTCAGAAGGGGCAGCAGCAGCAGCAGCAGCAGCAGCATCAGCAGTTCCAGCACTACCAGAGCAGCAGTCCCCTGATAGCGGACAGTCCCATCCCGAGTCCCAGCGGCGCCATTGCAGCGGCTGCGATTAAGCCTCCCACGCCGCAGCCGCAGCCCCAACCCATGCAGATGCTGCCCCAGCAGTTTACCATCTCGCAGCAGCCGCAGCAACAGCAGCAGGCGCAGCAGGTCTTCCAGTTTATCCAGGGACCGCAGGGCCAGCTCATAGCCACCACTCCGCAGCAGCAGCAGCAGCCCATCCAGCAGCAGCAACAGCAGCAGCAGCAACCGCAGCCGCAGCAACATCGCTTCGTTAGCAATGCCGGGGTCACGGGAATGCCAACCGGCAAGACCGGCAAGGCACCGCAACAAATCCTGCCCAAGCCGCAGCAGGAGCTGCAGCAAAAGAAGGGCTCAACCGTCGCACAGATCTCTCAGACGCCGCAGCAGCAAACTGGCCAGGCCAACAATCCCACCCAACAGCAGCAGCAGCAGCAGATCCTGCTAAACGCCACCACCAATCAGCCGCAGCAGTTGCTGCTCAACCAGATGCCCGTGCTGGTGCAGCAGAATCCGCAGGGCGTGCAGCTGATCCTGCGGCCGCCGACGCCCCAGCTGACGACCACGCCCTCGCTGGTCATCCAGCAGAATGCCCGTGGGCAGCCGCAACTGCAGACGCAGCCGGCGCAGCAGCAACTTCTGCGGATAGTGGGCACCAATGGAGCGACCATGCAGCTGGCTGCCGCGCCCACCTTCATTGTGTCCTCGCAGGCGAACCTAATCCATCAGACGGCGGCTGGTCAATTCCAGAGCGCCATCAAGTCGGGCACCCAGCTCACGGGTCTGCATGCGGCACTGGCTCAGGCGCAGGCACAGGCGCAGGCGCCACGATCTCAGCCGTTTGCCACGACGGCCACGCTGAATACGCAGCTCCTCGGCCAGAGTGTCGCGGCCCAGCTGCAGAACCTCCAGTTGGCGGCGGCCCAAATCCAAATGCCCAATGGCCTCACCGCCATCTCCCAGCTGCCGGCGCATCTGCAGCAGAGTTTGGGTGGTGCGACCATCAATTTGAATCAGCTGAACGGGGCGCATCTCCAGCAGATAGCCAACGCTTTTCAAACGCCGCAGCCGCCGGGAACAAACAATGCAGGAACTGGCGGCAGCACGACGGCGGAGCTCTTTACCCAATCCTCGCCAGCGCATGTACCGCTGGCCGTCACCCCGGAGCCACTGCGTCAGCCCACGCCGGTGCCCATGATGCAGCAGCAGCAGCAGCAACAGCAGGCGGCCATGGCCACCATCCAGCTGCAGCAGCAGCAGCAACAGCAGCAGCAGGCGCAGATCCAGCAGTTGCAGCATCAGCTGCAGCAAACCCAGTCCCAGGTGCAGCAGGCCCAGCAATCCGTTGTCCAGGCGACGACAACCACCACCAGCGTCCCGGAGCCCAAGAAGAAGCCGCGTCCGCGCAAGAAGAAGCAGGCGGTGGCAACTCCTGCCGCCGTTGCGCCCGTTGAGGTGAGACCACCGACGCCCCAGAAAATAGCGGCGGCGGCCACGCCCACGCCACCGCAGGCAGTGCGCTCCAAGTCGCCATCGCCGCCACCGACGACCATCCAGCGGAGCAGCAACGGGAAGCTGGATCTCGGCGATGTGATGAAGTTTTGCGGCATCACCGGCGACGATGACGACGACGAGGATTATGGAATGGGCCTGGACACCGAACCAGAGGCAGCAAACCAGGTGACTACCAGCGGAGCAGCGACGACGGGCAGCAGCAGCGGCGACATCATGATCTCCATACCGAACCAAAACGGCAGCGATGGCCTGCCCTTCACCCTGACCATTCCCGCGACGCCATCTCAGCAGGCGGGAAGCGAATCAGCCACCGAAATACCAAATATCCTCATCAAGATCGATCCAAGTGCGGAGGCAGCGGTGCCGCCATTTGGTCTGTCCACGCCGCGTTTGCCGACGGCCGAGGAAATCCAGAAGCAGGCGCAGCAGCATTTGGCGCAACAGGCGGCAGCAGCAGCGGCGGCGGCGGCGGCCAAGGCGACTACGCCAACCATAAACATTAGCCTGCCCAGCATGGCACCCATTGTCACGCCCACTCCTGCTGCTCCAACTTCCAATCCTGTGTCCACTACGGCGGCTGTGAAGCCGCGAAGAAAGCCAGCCGTGCGGAGGAATGCCAAGAAACCGGAAACCAGCACCTTGATCTCCGCGAGCAGCGGCACCACCACCACCACAATTAGCAGCAGCACCAGTACTATACTGAACAACAGCCAACCCACCACTGTGAACACCATCACGCTGACCACGCCCACTCCAGTGACGAGCAGCAGCAGCAGCAATCCCACCCTGATGCTCACCCACGGAACGCCAACGGCAGTGCCAAGTCAGATTGGCAATATTCAGATCTCGCAGGTGCACAATCATCACCCGTCCGCCATGCCCGTGAGCAGTGCGGTGGAGAACAAGATCCAGATAATGCCGATCCTTCCGCCGGGAGCCACGGTGATGGGGGGAACACCGGGAAGCGGAGCAGGAGGAGCCCATACGTCCGGCTCCTCCCAATCCACGCAGTTGGTCTTTCAGCCAACGGTGCCTTCGGTGGCGCCTACGATCAGTGCGGAGTCCACGGGATTCAAGCTGTCCACCGATGGAAGGCAGATGCAACTGGTGGCCATACCGCAGGCCACTCCTCCTCCGCCGCCGACGACGGCGACAGCCAGTGCAGCAGCCCAACCGCCGGTGACCACGCCGGCCTTGACCGCCGGAGGAGCCACAATTCTGCCTCCTCAGTTGACCGGGATGCCCGCCAATGTATCGGTTTCAGTGGGATCTCCTGCCTCGGCTGCGGCTCTGGTGCCCCAGCTTACCGGGAGTCTCACGCTCACCGTGTCGGAGCAGTGCGAGCGGTTGATCCTGCGACATGATCCCAACAATCCGCAGGACCATCAGTCGCAGCTCATCCTGCAGGCACTGCTCAAGGGCGCCCTGCCCAATGTGACCATCATCAATGAACCGACGCGTGTGGATCCCAGCAAGCCGCCCACTCCGATGTTGCAGCCGCAACAGCAGGTGATCCAAATCCCCCAGCCAGTGGCGCCACCTCAGCCAATCCTGCAGCAGGCGCTGCCCAAGGTTTCAGCAACTCCAAAAATAGAAGTAAAAGGTAAGTTTTGAATGAGAAAAATGATCTAAGGTGGTCATGAAAAAACCACATATTTAGTTAGTATCAGGGTTCGGAAAATAACACAGACTGTAAATAACTTGTGTTATTAACATGTCAAAAAAAGTTATAGACATGTGTGTCAAAAATTGAAGCCTACATATGTTAGAAACATAAATAACACACACATGTCATTTGTGTTATTTACACGACGGGTTATTAACACGACGTGTTTTTTACACAGCGTGTTTTTAACACAATGAGTTTTTGACATTTAAGTGACAGCTCACAATATATGTAAATAAATCAGGGACCGTAAATAATCATTATTTGAGATTTTTATTTTAAAAGGCCTACTGAGGTTTTTACATATTTTAATCAACAATTTAACTGGTTTTTATGCACTTTATAGACATGAACAAATAACAGTTAATTTGCTTTCCAGATTTGTTGAAATGCATATACTTTGTGGACAAGAGTAAAAAGAACGTTATTTTTAGTCGTAGTCTTTTTAAAATAAAAATCTCAAATAATGATTATTTACGGTCCCTGAAATAAATTGTTTTTGCCTACCGTTACTAATATAATGTGTTCATTTTATAAAAAATACATTTTCAAATATCTATTCCATTAAAAAATTTTGAAACAAAAACTAATTAAAATCCTTCCCTTTGCAGTGGCCAACAATAGAAAGTTGTCAGGGAGTCAGGTGGCACATCCCGCCAGCAGCATGCTAGGAATGACGAGCACTACGACCACCATGTCGACGATGAAGCCACCGGCCACGCTGCCCGCCAAGCAGAACGAGACGATGTCCTTCCCGCCTCTGCCGCTCAACTCGCAGGTGCTCATCCAGCAGCAGCCACTGATTTCGGCGCAGCTACAGCCGCAGCTGCAACCCGTCACCGTGCCCGTGACTCTGCCCACTCAGCCGGCCACCATCTCCGTTCCAATACCCTCGCCGGCGCCACCTCCTCCCCAGCTGGCCAACAATGGACAGCAGCGGTACATCGCCCTGCCGCCCATCGATCCCACCACCCAGCAGTTGTTCTGCCTGAACAGCGTGACCAACCAGATAACGGCGATGAGCGCGGGTCAGACGGCCGCCTCGATTGGACCCACGGAGCGGCTGCTCATTGCTCCGGCCGGGATAAATGCCCAGCAGTTGGCCCAGTGCCTGCAGTTGGGACAACTGCACTTCAACGATGTTAACCCACTGCCGCCACAGCAGCAGCAGCAACAGCAGCTTTCGATGCCACTGCGACCGCAGCCACCGCAGCAGCAGATCGTGCATCCCATCCAGCCGATAACCAATGGACTGGCCATCACCACAACGGCCAGCACCACGTTGACCACCACCACGAGCACCACCTCACTGACCACGGTGACCAAGCAGGTGGCCAATGTGGCGCCGATAATAGATCAGAGCAAGGCGAAACTGGAGCCGGCCAAAGCAGCCACCAGTGGAGCAGCAGGTGGTGGAGCAGTGGTCAAGAAGAAGCCGGTGAGGAAGCCCAAGGCGACGCCGACCAATGCCTCCGAGTTGGCCAATCTGAAGAACGCCAGCGTGGTTAAGCCGATGCCAAAGCTGGATCCCCTTTCGCAGAAGCCCAACAATAATCCGGTGCAAATTGTGCAGCCAAATGTGGCCAGTGGCAAGCAGATGATCGTGGTGGGCAGCTCCAGTTGCACCACCACCACCACGACCACGATGAGCGCCAGCATCCAGCCGTTCCAGACGACGAGCGGCACCAAGTTGGTGGGCGTTACGGTGCCAATGCAGCAACAGCAGCAACAGCCAACCGGCACGGCGGCGATATTGCAGCAACAGCAGCAGCAGCAGCAACAGCAGAGGACGAGCTTCAGCTTAACGGCAACCACGGTGGCTACGCCTGCTCCGATGCCTTCTCCAACGGTAGCTTCTGGTGTCAGCCAACTGCAGATGCAGCAGCAGCAACCCCAACAGCAGCAGCAACAGCAACTACAGGCTCCCAAGCAACAGCAGCAGCAACAACCGCAACCAAACACCGTTTCCCGCGTGCAGACCATCCAACTTACCCCTCAAATGCAACAGATTTTCAAGCAGGTGCAGATGCAGATCCAGTTCCTCACCATAAAGCTGCAGAACAAAACGACCTTCCTGCCAGTGTCGCCGGAAATTGATCCCGCAACCATTGCTGCCTACAACAAGCCGATGACCGATGCGGAAATAAATCTGGCACTGCAGCGACTCTTTGCCGAGCAGCACCGAATCCTTGCCTCCGGGAAGGAGGTGCCCACTCCGGAGGGAATGTTGCCGACGGCCAATGGAAGTGGAGGTTTCAGCCTGATGTCACAGGCAGTGCAGCAGCCGCAGCAGCAACCGCAGTTGCAACCTACGGTTTCGGAGCCACTGAAGACAGTCGTGCCCGCCAATGTGGTTCAACCCAATAACCACTCATCCACCACGGCAGGTGCTCCGGCTGCTGTCGCAGCTGCTCCCAGTGCCCAGCAGAACATAACTCAGAGGATACACATCTATCCCATGCAGCACCAGCAACAGCAGCAGCAGCAACAGGCAGGCAACAAACCAAAGCAGGCGCAGCCCAAACCGCAACAGGAGCAACAGTCGCAACAGTCGCAGCTCCAAATAAAACCCAAAGAGCCGGCTAACAGAAACAAAGCCAATAGCAATAGCCAGCAGCTGCAGCAAAACCCACAGCAACTGCAACAACAACAGCCGCCCAATGGAAGCATCAATATGTTGCCACAAAAAGTAAATATGCTGCCAGTTGTACAGCAGCAGCAGCAGCAACAACTACAACAACAGCAGCAGCCATTGCTGAACAAAAGCGGACCACCACCGCTGATCTTCGCCAGCTCCACAAATCTGCTGACCAACAGCAACAACAGCAGCAACACTCTTACCAGCAATTCTGTAATGCAAGTGAACAACATGTTGCCACTGCCACCATTGCAACCCCAGCAACAGCAACCGCAACAGCAGCAGCAGCAGTTACAGCAGCAACCTACACCTATCCTGCCACCAGTAGCTGCAGCAATGGGCGTTGGAGTGACGCCAGGAGGGATTGGATTGCCAACACTGCCGAGCATTCCGAGCCTGCCCCTTTACATGCCGAGCAAAATGGATGAAATGCCAACGCAGAAACCCAAAATTGCACGCCTCTCCTTGTGAGTAGTTGGTTGAACAATGCCGATTTCAAGCGAAAAGCGGCCAACTGGATTGCAGATTTAGCAACGCACTCTCGAGCTAGAAACTAACTCTTGTCTTTTCGCAGATTCGTGCGCCAACTGGAGGTCGACCAGGAGAGCTGCCTGAAGCCGGACTACGTAAAGCCCTTCCGCACCAAGGATGAGGCGGTTAAGAGGCTAATAAGGTATGAAACTGCTTTCTAAAACTGATCATTACTTACGGGTGTTGATTTTCAGGTACCACTGCATGCATGAAAACGATGTGGAGTTGCCCTCGGATGAAGATGAAGAGTTTGAGTCCACTGCTCTGGGATTCCAGGACAAGTTCAGGCAGCTAAACGGCAAGTTCCAGGAGATACTGATGCAGGAGTCAACGGTATGAACAGCAATTAAGTTATTTTAATTCTTTATTAACTTTTTGTATCATTAATTGATAGCTACCACATCGCACCTCGGAGATCCTGCAAATGCAGCAGCTCATGATCGATGACCTCAAAGTCGAGATCAACGACATTCGCACCGCCGAAAAGGAGCTAGAGCAGCAGCTGAAGGAGGAGCAGAATGGCGACAAAACAACGCTGGAAACCGAGGCTAAAGTTAAGGAGGAGATTAAGCAAGAGCCCATGGATAAGTCAGCCCAATCGGATGGCGTTGTGGACAAGTTTGATTTACTGAAAAACAGCGCCGATGTGAACAAAGCATTCAGCAAAGCACAGCCTCAGCCAAGTGCGACAGTGAAGCAAGAGGAAAACCACGAATCTGGTGAGGCCTCCTCGGTAAACGGAGCTGTGAAGAGCGAGGCTCAGGACAAGGAAGCTTCGAAGTACATCAAAAAGGACTATGACAATTTCGATATAGAGTCTGAGCTCACCACCAGCTTCATAATGAAGAAGGTGGAGAACAAAGCGGCCTTGGCCAAGAACGCTGAGACTCGCTACCAGGAGAGAAGTTTGATGGACCAACAGCAACAGCAACAGCAGCAGCAGCAACATATCAAAGGCACGGGAGCAGAGCCAGTGGATCAGGAAGATGGCTGGTATTGTCTGCAAAAGGAGCTTAATCTGATGAACAGTGATCCCATGCAGCAGCCGCAACAACAGCTAAATGGAAACCAGCCGCATCGTCAGCCGGCGCAACAGCCATCGCACTTTTTGGACAACTCCAACTCGAACAACATGATGAACAACAGCAACCACATGTCGGATCTGTTTCCAAACGGCTGCATCGACAAGAGCAACCAGAGTACCACGAGCAGCAGCAACAGCAGTTGTGTTAGCGATAGCCAGGTTGCTTCCAATCCCGTCAAGACTGTGTCCTCGTGCAGCGGTCAACGCGAGCAGCCGGTGGTCCTGGATGCTGAGCAACCGAACGAGCATCCGGCCATCAGTGAGTTTTTCAGCAGCGACTCCGATGTGCAGAAGTCCGTGGAGACGCGATTGGAGGCCATGTTCGGTGAGTCACCCGTGCACCTGGACGTGAAGAGCAGCAGCGATGCCCACGACATTGAGTCCAACCTGGACGAGATCTTTGGCGACTCGAAATCGCCGGCGGTCAACCACAAAAGCAAGATGAGCATGTGGGTGCCAGACGCCACATTCATGCAGCAGGCGCCGCAGCAACAGGCGTCGCAACAGCAGCAGCAGCAGCAGTATGCAGGCCCGCAGCAACCATCACAACAGCAGCAACATCACATTGAACTGAACTGCAACAACAATCCACGCTGGATGCAGAGCATGGAGGCGCACTACAGCGACTTCCTCTCCAGCGGAACCAGCAACGGCGAACTGGTAAATGGCGGAGAATCGCGCAAACGGAGCTGGGATAGCCAGCTGATGGGCTCTGGCAGCGATATGGAAGATGACAACAGCAGCAAGCGCCTGTGCACTGCTTCTTCGTCCTCCTCTTCGTCGCCCATGTCGTCGCAGCAGCAGCAGCAACATGTCCAAGTGCCTCAGCATGGTCTTTTGGACTCGGACATGCTGCCTGCTGGTTTCCCCCAGATGTTGATGGAGCAGCAGCAACAACAGGTGCAGCAGCAACACAACTTTGCCTACGCCAACATAATGGATCAGCAGCAACAGCAACAACAGCAGCACCAGCAGCAACACTTCCAGCACAATCTGCAGCAGCAGATTCAGCAGCAGCAGCAGCAGATGCATGTTGGCCACATGGGTGGCGCAGCTGTGGGCGCTGGCGGAGAGTACGACGATGACATCAGTCGCCATGTGGCCAGCGCCATCGACAGCATCCTGAATCTGCAGAACAGCGGCGACTCGCTGCAGTTCTCCCTGGGCTCGATCCTCGGCGACAGCATGCTAGACGACCAGCGGCAGGCGGGCGGCAACATGCCCAGCTGCCAGCAGGAGCAGGTGATTCAGCGTCGCCGCCAGCTGGGCGAGGAGATGAACGACTGTCTAATCAGTGGCGGTGGCTCGGCAGTCAGCGGAGTGGCGGACAACAGCAGCAACATACTGCTGGAGCACCACCACCAGCAGCAGCAGCATCAGATGATGCAGGGTCATCAGCAACAGCCCCACCTGCAGCACCATCATCATCATCAGAACATGACGCAGGCCCAGGCACAGCATCTGGGGCAGCTGAACGACTTTAGCTGCGTGGCCGGCGGTCTCGATGATCCGGTCAAGTCGATAATGACCTCCTGACTTGGAGCGCCGACCACGTCTGCTGCGGAAAACGCCTCCAACAGTCTGATACTAGAGTTTAATGCCACCACCTTGTGAAAAACGGTTGATAATAACGACTTCCTGATTGTATAGATTCCCGTCTTAGTTGTCCTTGGTTATTGTTTTAGCATTACCCCCCGAGTACAATCTTTAATTAGACCTAAGTTGAGACCGTAGCATAAATTGTTTTTACTTATTGTTTGTATTCTTTAGTCCAATGTTTTGTACAATATTTGAACAACCCTCAGATAACCAATTACTTAATACAAGGGGAGGAAGGAAGAGAGGCATCTAAAATATGACAGAGCCAATAAAGCCAAGAAAGCAATTGACGTGGTGAATTGAAAACTAAACGACGAATAGCATCAAATGCTTCTCACAGAGGTACACTAAACGGAACGTAATATTATAAATTATATAGCTACAGTAACTAAGAGAAAGCCCCTAGACAATTTATTCAAATGAAACCAAGAAAAGTACGTAAGAAAATGAAGGCAATGATGAGGAGAAGAAACACGCGCAAAAAGAGGAAGGGAAGAAAACGAATTGGTTGTATAATTCATAATTAAGTTACATGAAGCAATTCTGAGAAACAATTAAAATCACGTTGCCAATTTTGTTGTCGCTGAAATATCAGGCAGAGCAATTTATCCGCATCCAATCCATTTTTAGAGGCCCAGATAAAGTACATTTATTTGCGCATTACGTTGCGAAAGAGTTTTGTAAATAGTTAGAGCATGCCACAGTTTCAATAGCGCCCCTGGAACTGTCTAACCAGATTATAAATATATATAGCTAAGCATTTTTAGAAGGAGATATCATTTAAAGCGCTTCACGTACGACTGCTTCTGATATTACAGACAAACAAACCAACCAACCAACCTATTGACGTGCTCAATTCGAGAGTAAAGAATATTTCGGCATAGCTACGGGTGTCATTGGAAGGCAAATGCAAAGATCTTAGGGATTAACGAGTACCAACTATGGCAAACTACGAAGCAAACCAAAAGCAGTTCAAAAATCACAATTTTAGCCAATTTAGTTTAAACATTTATAAATTATTGAATCTAATGTAATATCGGATACACTCAAACCGATCGATCGATTGAACAGAGAAGCTGAGGGAGTATTGAGATGAGGAACCACAGGAAAACAAGTAACAACAAATTAACGAATCGTATCAATTGTATCTTGATCTTGCGACAAATCTGACTTGTGATTTGTGCCACGTTTTAAATATAGATGTCTGATTAGCTTGTAAACATACATAATAAATACGATTAAAGTCTATACAAAATGAAAAACCCACACTCAGTAAGCCACTACAAAGTTTATCCAAAACGAATCGCGCGTCGCGAAAGCAATTGTAAATGTTTGGCGTGGGAAGGGCGGGTGACACGCATCAATTACATACCAATTACAATACTAACTACTACTTTAATACCACCACTAACACACCTACTACGATACGTACTACCATGGACGGAATGCTTGTATTACGTGTAGTCTGTAAGGGAACTTCAAGAGGTACCACATATTTTAAGATGTGCTTCGTTTATTCAGGCCCCCCATCCATGATTCCTAGACCATAACCATAACCATAACCCGAGCCCATCATCCCACCTATCCAGCGTCCCGTCTGAGTTGCATGATCTTGTATTTCAATTTTGAAACCTTCTAGTTATTATTCAAAGACAAATAACTTTCGTGTAAAAATGTATATGTAATAGCATAATTTAAGTTGGCAACCCAAAACTGAATAAATTTAAATCTATTGATAGATTACTAATGCGAATTGTTTTAAGTTGTATTTAGAACAAAATTGAACTCAGAACTCAATTCGGTCGCCCCTCCCGCAACCACCTTTCCACAACACAATAACAACAACAACAAAGAGCAGTGTCGTCACTTGAATTGTTCAGCTAAATGTGTCTAAATGTAATTTAACATAAAGAGAAAACTAAAGATTTTTAAACAAACATTGTGAGTTTTAATTAAACATCATCAGCATAGGGAGAGAGAGACAGCAAAGCAAAGGAAACAACTTTAATATTTGATAGTTTATTAAGCCCATCCATTCATAGTCGTCATAAACATTAAGTACATAAAACAAAACAAACAAAAGATTCAATATAAATCTCACTGAAACGCAACAAACCGAAAACCCAACTGAGAACGAAAACTAAATAAAAGGAAATGCAATCAAAGTTCATGCATTTGCGTTTGTACTGGGTGAAATGTTCTTAGGAAAATAAAGAGAAATTCCATACAATTTTAAAAATTATCGCATTTTATTATCGGCTCTTTTTCGAATATGCAGGTTGCCTATGGGATCGAAAATGCTTTTGGTGCATTTTCTGTGAGATTCGTTTATTCCGTACTTTTGAGATTACACACAAATCGACTTTGTGCAGAGTGCAACTGAGTTCCTAATATCATGCTAACGTAAACATACACAATTAACTACAGGAGAGATTACAAGGTTAAAACCGGCTGGCTGGCTACTGGCTAAAAAGACGGGTTAGCAATGGCCCAATATCATGTTACATTAGGTGCTTAAAGTAGGAAATAAATTAATACAAAAAAATAACAGTTATCAGTACAAAGAATATTATACAATCGAGTCCTACCGATTTTAAAAAGACGTGTTAAATAGGAAGATGGGATGGTTCGATGATTTGTTCAAAATCGCTGGGGCGAAAAATGATGACAAAGTTTGTTGGTATAATATCAATTTTAATAGCCCCAAAGCTACTGGATAATTAAGATTACTGGCCCTGATTAATATACATATTTAGATTTTAATAATTTTTCTTAGCCTTGGATTGCTAAAATTTGATATTACACCTCGCGACTACATCGACCCATCCCAATGTTGGGCATTGCTTTATTCGATTGGCCAACTGAGCTCGGCCTGTTCCTAAGCTTAGCATAGTATTTGGCATTTGCGCTAAAGTACGAATAGGAGTTAAACGATTGTTGCAGCCTAAATGCGCCGACTCTATTCGGTTTCCAGTTAGTTTCGCTGGCGCAACTAAGTTGCGCTGCCCTCTATTTGCCTCGCTTAGGGGGTAATTAAGTCTTGAGCGGGTAGACCGGCAGTGGATGGCCCTCCGAGTTGAAGACCCATTGCTCCAGATCGATTTCCTTGCGGTCGTCGCTGAACAGCAGGTAGAAGTACTTCAAAGTCTCGCTCAGCCAAAAGCTTTCCATCAGATCGCGCAGCCGCGTGTTCTGTGTGTTCTTGACATTGCCCATCGATGTGTAGCCTGCATTAACTTTGGCGTGAGTTTCGAAGGCCTGGAAGATTGTCCACCCCATATCCTGGTAGGTGCGATTGCCGGTTAACGAGTAGAAATAGTAAAGACTCTCCACGAATTCCGGGCGCAGTAGATTGTGCGCGTCGTTTGGCTTCACATAAATGTCCTGATCATCCTTTTCGGTGAGCGCAAAGTAAGAAATCTCGGCCGCCAAATGTGTTGGATTCATCATGTAGGTCTGAAAGCACGTGTCCATCAAGTCCCTGGCAAGTATTAGATGCGAGTCCGGCATTCCATTCTGGTGACCCAGGAGCAAAGTACCCGGCAGATAACACGTAAGATGGTCCATTTTCGGCTTGAAGTCTTTGCCATTGATTAGTTCGCCAATGTAAACCCAGTGCTCACGTGGAGTGCGCCGCATTAGCTGTGTTAGTACTCCATCCACTGCTTGCATATAATCCAAAATGAGGCTAAAATAAACAGAGGTCTAATGAAATAAATACTTAACAATTGCTATTTGCACAGGTGTAACATCTCTGCTGTATGAGTGTATTCTACGAAACGTCATAGCCATACTGGAGTTAAAAAACAAGGGAGAACGATATGTCGGGTTGGTATAGAATGGTCCGATTTAAAAAATGTCTTCTACTTTTCGATAGGTATAAGTATACACAACAAAATTGCATTTATACTTCTCGGAAATCTTTAAAGAAGTGGGCCCCAGACACATTTTAAAATTGTTAGTGTGCGATTGTGGGCGTTAGAGGGGGCGTGGCGCTCGGCTGAAATAAACTTGCGCTGCGTAGGAAGCCCAAGAATATGTGTGGAAAATCGGATCCTTCTAGCTTTTATAGTTTCCGAGATCTCAGCGTTCATCCGGACGGACAGACTGACGGACAGACGGACACGGCTATATCGACTCGGCTAGTGACCCTGATCAAGAATTTATACGAATTTATAGGAAACGCTTCCTTCTCCGTTACATACTTTTGCACGAATACAATATACCCTTTTCTCTACGAGTTACGGGTAAAATTACAATACTTACTTGTCGTTATCCTTACGGCCAGTTTGAATCCACTGTTTCAGCAAGTACTCATAGTAGGAGTCACCGCGCGCACCAAGGGAAATGGTGGCGTAGTTGCGGAAGGTTCCCGTGTTGGCGTTGATGAATATGGGCACCAGGCCATGGTTCTTATCCAGATCGTGCACCTTCTCGCTCACTTTGTGAGCAACCTGTTGGGCGTAAATTGTTTTATAATTTCCCATTGCCTCTCATCCGATTTATTTACCTGTTCATAAACGGAAATGTTTGTAGACCGACTCAAATCACGAAACTCTAGCTGAATGGTGGTGACCTCACTGGTGGAGCTGTCTGGTGACCACTTGGGTGAATGCGCCGACAGATCGCCGAGGTTCACATCCGAATAGGGGATATTCGAGGGCGATAGGAAGGCTGGCAGTAAACGGTTGCCCAATTCTGCTGCCTTGGCCAGAAACATTGTGTCCCCGCTCAGGTGATAGGCAGATAGTAAACCGCCCAGGACCCGAATGGTAACCTCGAAGAGATTTACATCGCGCTTAGTATCGAAGCGCAGTGAATGCTCCACCCAGTCGCGTGCCTCTTTGAATTCTGTGTGGTAAAAGTAGTGAATATTAAAGAGAAGTGAAAGTTATTTGGTTATTTAAGTTATAAAAAACGCCAACTCACCATCATCTAGGCCCATTATGTACATGGTGTCCAACGAGTCCACAATGGTGAGTCCCAGACCGAACCACTCGTGGGAATATTGGGAGATGGGCTTCAGGTTGTCGTGACCCCAGGCGTACTTCTTGTAGCCCGCCCAGGAGTGCTTGAAGGCGGCCACTACGGCCGACTGTCGTTCATTGGTGGCGCCATGGAAGTGCTGTCCCTTGGCCAGGAGGGGCTTTATCTTCTTGAGGTGCTCCTTGAAACTGACTCCGCCCAGATTCAGAGGACTCTTGATGGCCTGGTCGAGCTGCTCGCGTTCGCTCAGCGGCTCTGTTGACTCCTGCGGCATGGGCTCCTCCACATTGTTCAGGATGTCGATTCCCCCAGTGTCCTGCTCCTTGTTATTGTCCGGCGGAGGCAAGGCCACGGCCTGCGGAGGTCCTTGAGCGGCCACCGTCTCCGGCAGACGGACAACGTTCTCGGCAGAGTTCGCTTCCCCGTAGGCAACTTCATTAAACTGAAATTGATTGAGATTGAGATATCATTATAAAATTTCACTGGAAGTGCGCCGGCAATAAATCAAAACAACAGGCAATCGAGCTGATATGGACGGCTATCTTAATGGGCAAACATAGCTAGCCAATTAAGCACTTATCAATTAAGTAGGGGGCCTATTTACCTTATCACTTAGCGCCTCCGCCCGGGGTGGTCTCTTATCTTCGGGAACCGCTGCCGCTCCAGCAGAGTCTCCAGGCACATCCTTATCCATTCCGGGGTGATGGTGCGGATTTGGCGCGGGCATTTGGTATGGAGACACGATGGCCTTCGAGTCCGAATCTTTCAGACTGGCGGCCAGCAGTTGGTCGCCACTCAGGCAGAGCAGCACCGTCACGCAGAAGGCGGTTATTCCGAGAATAATGAGATTGCGTTGACAACGGGGCAGCTGATTCCAAGCCTAAAACGTGGGAACAAATAGAAGTTAATGGGGGATTGGTTTGTTGGGATCGTGGGGGGCATCACCCCCTCTTTCCACCTACCCGTCGCAGACTCTTCCTGCTCCGCTCGTCCACCGTCGCCGGTGATCCCGCCGAGAGTGTGAGCGTTATGTGACCGCCGTCCTTCATCGCGCTTCGCTAAATGCCGCCGCCGGAGTTCAGAGTGTGGGAAAGTTGGATGGGAAATTCCACAACATTCGCCTCCAATAAAAATCGATTGCCGTGCGCCGCTGCCAGCGGAGGAAGTGGAGCTAACTAACCAAGGTTGGCCCAACTACTACTGCCCTCGGTCACTCGCTAATCATCTCTTGCGTGCCCGTGCATTAATTAATATATTCTACGCAAATAACAAAATATAAAACTTCACAAATTCAACCACCTCATATCGCAGAGTTGCCAGATGAAATTTCAGCTTGCCCCCTAAAAAATCTCAAACAGTCGATATTTCCCCCTAAAAAATTCAGTTTTCCCCCTAAATTCAAAAAATCAGTTAATTTCGAACAAGTACAATAAATTGGAAAAATCTCAAAATTACGTTGTAGAAATGTTAAGATTGGAAAAATCGCAATATTAAGGGTTTTTCCAAACATTTGGGTAACACAATTTCCGGAAAAATACCTAAGCCAAACTTTCCCTAAAAATTTCACCACCCTAAAATTCCCCCTAGCACGTCAAAAAACACAGCGAACCTACGGTACTAAATTAACTTGGGCGGAAATGACATTCCATTTCAAGCTTTATTTCTTTAATTTTATTGGAGCTCAGTCGAATTTTTAATATTTTGTTGTTTGTCAATAACATGCTATATTAGGGGCTGTCCATATATTACGTAATCACGTTTTTGGTGATTTTTGACCCCCTCCCCCCCCTGGTGATCAAACGTAATCATTCAATAAACACCACCCCCCGCCCCCCATGATTACGTAATCCCAAGAATAAATTTTTTTTTTTTTAATCTGTGGATTCAAACGGAGATGCAACCCAATCTTTAATATTGTTTATAAATGAAGTTTGGTATGGTTCGTCTACGCTGATATTATCTCCAACATACTCTTCGTCAAGCCATTCCAGGTCTTCGCGTCCTTCGTGTGATTAAACCACTAAACATTCTCTTTTTCGACGCCCAGCCACTACAAAAATGTTTTCCCTGCTTTCCTATCTAAGTTTGTAGATATAATTAAAGGAAAAAAGTTTTTAGACAAATTCTTTAAATAAAAAAGTTCATATAAAATGATTACGTAATCATTCCTCCCCATGTAATCAAACATAATCATTTCAATGACCCCCTCCCCCCCCCTAGGTGATTACGTAATATATGGACAGCCCCTTATAAGTTATCTGAGGAATGTCAAGGTTTTTAAAGTCATGCAGACTCTAAATCAGCACACACATACGTTGACATTTTCTTTTATATTTGTGTGAGTAATTTGCACTGGGCAGCTCATCGATGTGTGTGTGCAGACCGCTGTTCTACGTTATACATGTGAGAGAAGCGCGGCGGCAGAACAAAACCCTATGCTCACTTAATAGGGCGCTGCCGACCGCTGCTCTAAATATACAGTGCAGATAAGGTATGGGAATTTCCGCACTCGGCCGAAAACATAAGGTCATCTGATTTGACCTATCCTATATATAAGGTTTATATTGAGATGACTTTGATTAGAGAAAGCTCTGCTTAATATAAATTCAAGCGCAGCACTTGACTTCAGCTCAGACATCAGTTAAATTCCGGCACAGGCAACATCAAAAACACGATGAGAGTTTTCGCGTTTTTTCTGACGGTAACGGTGTTGCAGAATCTATATCTTGTAGGCGGTTCCAAAGGGCTGCAAGAATTGCAATCGTCTCATCAAAATCTGGACAATAAATGCAACGCATACTGTTTTTCGATACTTAAACCAGTCCTTGATAACTATGTAGAAGCGAAAACTGAGAGTGATACCTTAAAAAATATGTCGAGTACTATTGAAGACCTACAGACTAGGCTGGCAATTGCTGAGGAAAAAATAAAATCCAAAGAAGATGTAATAATGGAAAAAAATGAACTTATCAAGGAAAAAAATGAACTAATTAAGGAAAAAAATGAAATAATTAAGGAGAAAACGGAGCAACTAAATTTCAAAGATGATAAGGTGAATACAATTAATAATTTACAGAGTAGGTTATCAAGTACGGCGTGCCAATTACAAATTAAACAGCTAGAGAATACAAAATACCAGGAAATAATCAAACAACTTAAAAACAATGAAATTCTAATGAAACTAAAAGATGAAAAAATCAATACCCTAAGTGAAGAGATAAGACACAAAGATGAACAATTGATTAATATAACAGCAACCACTAATAACTTGCAAATTCGATTAGAAAGTGCTCAAGACCAAATCAAAATAAAAGACCAGCTTCTAACCGTAAGAGATAAGGCAATTACTGACAAATCTGAGGAATTAAGAACCAAAGCCGAAATAATTTTGCAACAAAGTGAGAAAATAAAGAACAAAGACGAGGAAGTAAACAATATGACAGCAGATATTACAAATTTGAAAAGTCAGTTAGTTAATGTTAAAAACGAACTCAAAACTAAAAAAGATATGTTAAATGCTAAAGATAGGGAAATCGCTGATAAAACTGCGGAACTCAAAAGTAAAGAAGACGTTATAAAGAGCAATTCTGAAGAAATTATTGTCAAAAGTAATCAAGTTAAGGACCTGAATGAAACGATTTCAAGCAAAGATAAAGAAATTGAAAGCCTTAAGAGTAAAATTAAATCTGATTTGGAAAAAATAAATCAATTGTCTGCAGAACTTTTAGTGTTTAGGCCCACAGAGAATTGTACACAAGGCCGCCCAAATGGCATTTACACAATAAAGAATTCCGGAACGTCGCCATTTGAGGCTCCATGCAATTCGTCTGGTTGGATGACTATTCAAAGGCGGCAAGATGGATCTGTTAGCTTTGCAAGAAACTGGAACGAATATAAAAATGGATTTGGAGACTTAAAGACTGAATTCTTCATCGGGCTGGAGAAACTACATCAGCTAACTAAGAAACGACACGAACTGTACATAAAACTTGAGCATAAGGGAACCGTTATTTTCGCTCATTATGATAATTTTAAAGTTGGAAGTGAGCAGGAACAATACGAGCTTAAAGCGCTGGGGAAATATTCAGGGACAGCGGGAGACTCCCTAAGATATGAAGAGAATATGAAGTTCAGCACTATTGATCGGGATAATGACAGTACTTGCGCTCAAAGATATTCAGGTGGTTGGTGGTTTAAAAATTGTTTTTACAGGTATGTATTCCATTAAAAACTTGAATGAATTGCTTATCTTGAATAATTTTTATTACAGTCATCTTAATGGAAAATACTTTAAGGATGGAATTTCACCGGACAGCATGGGAATTAATTGGTATGCATGGAAAAATGACTATACGATATCTTTTACCTTTGTTGAAATGATGATACGGCCAATTGCGTAAAATTGTAAATTTGACTGATTCCAATATATAAATAAATTTACCAAATATTTAAAAATCATATTTTAAAAATATATATTCTGAAGTCTCAATACTTTTAAATCAAATTTTTAAAAGATGGCATCTCTGGTAAGTTTTGACAGCAGTGTGACCGCAAAATTGCGGGTCTGGTATATTTTAAGCGTGCAGTCTGGCCACACACCGCATTTTCACATCAAAATTTCGGGACGGAAGTCGGTGCGTAGAATCATTGCCCATTTAAGTTAGATAATAGCTCTCAAACACCGAAACTCACGCCTGCAGCCGGATACGAAACCGATAGACCCATAGGAAAGCGAACCACACGCCGACGATGCTCCGATCCCGACTCATCCAGGCGGCCAGCTCCGCCCAGCGAGCGTTCTCCACCAGCCAGAAGGCGCTGGCGGCCAAGCAGATGACCGTGCGGGATGCCCTCAACAGCGCTTTGGACGAGGAGCTGGCCCGCGACGACCGGGTCTTCATCCTGGGCGAGGAGGTGGCCCAGTACGATGGTGCCTACAAGGTGAGCCCTGCCACTAGCTACCATTTTTCCCGTCCCCTGATTACGTAAACACCAACCATCAGTCGGTTTGCGCTGACAGCTGATGCAGGTGAGGAGAGGAGGGGCGAAGGGGGGAAGTCGGAGGAGTGCTGGGCCTGGGGTGATATATGCGTGCTATATGTAACTACTGATAATGATTCCGAATAGGTCGCTGCGAATCTGAATGCGTGATCGAAATTGGCAAGGTCACGCAGAATGTGTGTGACTGTCGTCTGCTGATAATACTTGATTGCCCCATAAAATCACGATTTGTTTACCCATCTGTCGGTAGTTTGGGTGCCGGCAAATATTTATAGCAAATCTATACAAGTGGATGAAAAATTCATTTATGTTTTTCTCATTTTTTGTTTGTTTAGGGTATACTAAGAAACACATAAAATTAGTTGCACTGTTATCATATCGGAATAAAAAGATAAAAAGGCTTTTAATCATAAAGAACTCCCTCTAAAAATTCGTGTTATAAATCAGAAAATTTGAAAAATATTTAAGCAAAATGCGAACAGTTATTTTATTTACCTCTTGAGATGAATCAATACTTAGAATATATCTATTTCGCCCAAGTACATAAACTAGCATCTAATATTCCTAAATATAAACATCTATTACATTATTCGGGAATATTAGATGCTAGTTTACATTACATTATTCAACATACCATTTAAGAAAACTGTCCCCCAATAAAATACACCGTCGAGCCGAAAGCCTCTAAAATTCTTAGTTAGTTCATAGTTTTACACTCTAAGTTAGCTTTATATAAATAAATAAATACATTATTCAATTTCTTGTTCTAGGTATCCCGTGGCCTGTGGAAGAAGTACGGCGACAAGCGCGTCATCGACACGCCAATCACAGAGATGGGCTTCGCCGGCATCGCCGTGGGAGCTGCCATGGCCGGTCTGCGTCCAGTGTGCGAGTTCATGACCTGGAACTTCTCCATGCAGGCCATCGATCACGTGAGTTCCCTCATCCTATGCCTAAGAACCACTCCAGCAGTAGGCTAACTACTCATATTATCTCATTGCCAACAAAGAAGAACACGAAAATCCAATCCAAATGCCCCAAAACTCCACTAGCTAGCTAATAGACCAATTCAAGTGCAAGTTGTGGCCGCGGCGCCTAATGGGATAATATGGGTGGATTAGCTCCTGCCCCAGATATTGCTCGGATTTCACTAATCCCCACCCATATTATCCGATTATGTGCAGGCAAAGGTACTCGATTGCGCCAGGCCGCCAGTCGGGGATCGACCTCTGCCGGCGAGCCTCATTATCGAGAGTCCTCGCTCCACCTGGCTCAACGAGATCAACGACATCCTGCACAGAGATCGAGTGGGCGAGGTGATTGCCCCGCCGCTGGACAAGAGCAGGCCGGACAAGATGGAGGCCGCTCGCCTCATCGTCATCCGGCGGCGCAAGATGAAGAAGCACAAGCTGAAGAAGCTGCGCCGCAAGATGAAGTTCGAGTGGGCCAAGGTGCGCCAGCGTCGCGAGATGCGCAAGGAGAAGGCCTTCCAGGGCAAGCTGATTGCCCAGATTAAGCAGGCGGAGGCCTTCAGCGCGGAGCAGCACGTGGCCGAGGTCCTGCGGCAGGCAAACGAGACACCGCTGCCGCGGTTCTGGAAGGGACGCCGCCTGCCAGCATTTATCATTAAGCAGAAACTAGGCATTAAGTGAAGATCGAGACGGAAGTGGAGCGGAGTGTAACAAATAAAGTGCGACTTGTATTAACTTGAATTGGCGAATGAGCGGTTTCAGGGAGGAGGCAGTTGAATTTAACAGAATCAACAGAATATAAAATAGTTATACCCATTATCATTGGTTTCCCATACATAATATGAACAATTTTTCATTTAAACTAAACTTATCTTGTTTTACCATAAACCCTAGATCATCAACTCGGCCGCCAAGACCTTCTACATGTCCGCTGGTGCCGTAAACGTGCCGATTGTGTTCCGTGGTCCCAATGGAGCCGCCTCCGGAGTGGCCGCCCAGCACTCGCAGTGCTTTGCCGCCTGGTACGCCCACTGTCCCGGCCTGAAGGTCATCTCGCCCTACGATTCCGAGGATGCCCGTGGCCTGCTGAAGGCCGCTATCCGTGATCCCGATCCCGTGGTGTTCCTGGAGAACGAGCTGGTCTACGGTACCGCCTTCCCGGTGGCCGACAACGTGTCCGACAAGGACTTTGTGGTGCCCATTGGCAAGGCCAAGATCATGCGGCCGGGCAAGGACATCACCCTTGTGGCGCATTCCAAGGCGGTGGAGACATCGCTCCTGGCGGCTGCCGAGCTGGCCAAGAAGGGTATGTATTGTATTGTATTGTGACCCTAAAAATCAGCTAACTTTTTCTTTTACTCACTCTTTAGGTATTGAGGCCGAGGTCATCAACCTGCGCTCCATTCGTCCACTGGACACGGCCACCATCTTCGCCTCCGTTCGCAAGACCCACCATTTGGTCACCGTGGAGAACGGCTGGCCACAGCATGGTAAGTGAAAAGTACATAAGAATAAAAACAAACCTTCTATCACTTTTGTTTTATCCTTCTAGGCGTTGGAGCTGAGATCTGCGCCCGCATTATGGAGGACCAGACCTTCTTCGAGCTGGACGCCCCCGTGTGGCGTTGCGCCGGAGTGGATGTGCCCATGCCATATGCCAAGACGCTGGAGGCGCATGCCCTGCCGCGCGTCCAGGATGTGGTGGACGCGACCCTCAAGGTTCTGGGCGGCAAGGCGGGCAAGGCCGTGGCCGCCGCCAAGTAGAAATCCGAGTCTAGCCGCACGATCAGTACCCCGAGCTAATTAAATTTACAGTCCTCGTCGAAACGCTGCCTCTGGTCTAACCGAGCTGCCCCCCGAAAACATAGTGCACCGAACTGGAAATTGAATGATTTGGAAACTAAGCAGCACCGATAGTGGGTTATGTTTATTTTTCAATCGTTCTAGTTTAATTATTTGGTTATAGAAATCTCTTGTGAAAATAAACGAAAACATTTAAATACGCCAGAAAAGTGTTGTAGTTATTTGTAAGCAAAATAATAAAAACTATTAGGAACTGAAGTTGTTATCATTAGTTTGAGCTGTTCAAAAAGTGCGCGCTCTCGTTGCAGCCCTATAATCCAGAGTCGTTTTGCAGCACTGCCCCGTAAGTTTTTATTTATAAAATGGGATTCGATGACAACGAATCATTAAATAAACAATTAATTCTTTCTTGTAATTAAATTTGAGTTCAATTTTTCGCCAAAAAACTAGAACCAAAACAGGGTGATTCAATAATTAAAAGTCTAAGGTGTTGCCAGACTAATTTCCGATACTTCGATCCACTGCGATAAACGATAAAGTAAAATTAACAATAACAATACAATACACAACAGGATCTAACAAGTTCTGGCAAATAAATGCAATGCTCTGGCTGTAATGGCAAATAGCTCCAGCTCCGACGAAAGCTGCAAGGCCCCCGACAACTTCCGCATCTCGAGCGCCTCCACGAACGGCGATGACGAGGAGTCCAGCGACGTTGCAGGATACACAACGAAGCGCAGGCCAACGGCAAAGAAACTGCTGAAGGATGCGAGCGCCAAGGATGCGGGCGCCACTGCGCCAATGGGCAGCCACCACCATATGCGTTGCCCACTGTGCCACAGCTGCAGCGCCAGTCGCTTCCACTGTCGCAATTGCGTCAGAAACGGCAACATTACTCACAGTCAGGCGGAAAGGCCCGAAAGGTTGGCTACCCACCTTATCTGAACAGAAAAACTCATGTAATCCCCATCGATCTTACAATATTTCAGCCTCACGGAGAAGCAGCAGCGCTACATCAACCTGCAGGCGGGCCTGAAAACCTTCAGCACGCGCTACGAACGCCTCATCGAGCAGCATCGCTCCAACGAGGATCGCCTGATGGCCATCAAGGCCAAGCGAAAGCAGCTGGAGCTCCTGCAGCAGCTAATCTCGGGCACGGACAAGAGGCTGCGCGTCCTGGGCGAGCGGCGGGATGAACTGCGTCGTGCCAATGCCGAGAAGCGAAAGAACCTACCCAAGTACCCGGAAAAGGTCAAGATGCTCGAGGATTACGTGCTGGACCGAGTGGAGAAGATAGAGAAGCTCAGGGAGACGCACATGGGGCTCCTGGACAGCATCAAGCAGGCGGCGCGACGGAGCATTCAGCAGCTGGTCACCTATGTCTTTCCCATCGCCGAGGTTGTACTCAAGGAGGAGCAACAGCGACGGGCCAGCGTGGAGCGCAGCGAGGAGGCGGAAACCATTGCGGCACTGGCCGATGCCAAGAATACGTCGTACATACGCGGCAAGTGGGTCTTTCACGGCAGCGGGATCAGTGAGGTTCAATACAGGATCGTGGGCCCTTCTCTGCCCGCCAACGGCGACTATACCGCCTATCTGGACTGGCTGGCGGACAACAAGGACGATGTGCCGAAGGCCACGGCCAACGAGATTACGCCCAGCCGGTTCGAGGCCTACCGCATTGTGGGCGGCCTCACCTACACGGCGCAGCTGACGCAGCTGCTCAGCTTCTACCTGAACGTGCGGCTGCCGCACAAGATCGCCTACGGGGACTTCTGTCGCAAGCTACTCAACGAGGAGCAGTTCCGGCGCAAGATCTCGCGGCTCAACTCCAACATTATGTATCTGGCCTACACGCAGCAGGTCAAGTTGCGCGCTCTCATCGAGCAGCACACGCTGGAGAATCTACTGGCCATCCTGGATCTGGAGCGCAGCGATCTGGGTCGATTCGGCCATCTGGACGTCACTAATGCGCCGCTCATGAAGTCTGTGGATTCCCTACTAATCGGCATTGAAACGGCCACGGAATCGGAGTCTGAGGGTGAGTCTTTGTTATTTGTTTTAATGGTTATCGTTTTAATAAATAAGATATAATACAAGAATCTTGATCGATCGATCACAAATTTGGTAAAGTCCGGCTTTCCTTATCCAATCAGTTAATTTTTTCAGGGACCGAAAATAACTGTTATTGTAATTTTTCTTACAAAAAAAATCACGAACTTAGAAGGGTCCTAAAATTGTTTAAATGCACCACTATTTTTATTAGCCATTGTAGTTTACAAATCCGTAATGATTTTTATAATAAAACTCAAAAAATAACTGTTATTTGTGGATTTTTATGTATAACAGTTATATCCTTGACACTTTTGAAAAAATGAAATAATTAAAAAAAACGTGCTAAAAATTTGGCAACCGCGCATATTTTATAACTATATTTTTTTAAATTTATTTTACCCAAAATAAAATAAAATTTTTTAAAATACAGCACTATTTTTGTTAGCCATTGTATTATTTCCTAAAAATATTATACAAAAATAATGATAATTTGTTTTTAATTTAATACAACTATTATTTAACTAACTTATCTGGTGTTCATCCAGATGAAAACTCCTTGCGCATGGACTGGGAAGCGGTGCCCAGTCTTACTCCACAGCCGGAACTGGCGGATCCCAATCTGATGCCGACGGCCAACCAGCAGTCCACCATCGCCTTCGTGCGCATGGCGGCCACCTCGGTGCTTCGCTGGATCAAGTGATCCCGATCCCAGACCAACCACCCGACAGCCCGATAGTCCGGCTATATATCATCATCAGGCACGTGTGTTATCTTTTACAAATTAGGCTAAGTTATTGTTTCCGTGACAGTGCGTTGGAGTTCTCTGGCAGTCGCTGGTTTTAGCGTTATCTTTATGGTTTACAGAACTAATTTTGTATCGATTCAATATACATACATATATATTCGCTGTGTGCAAAGAAGGAGCGCCTTTTGATTTACTTTTATTACATAACTTATTCGCCTTTATTTAATAAAAATGGTTCTCTATAAATAAATATATATATATAAACTTGCTTTATTAATGTTTGCAAAGTACACTGACTTAGTGGGTAAACGACTCAATGAGAAAACAATAATGAAACTGGTGCAAATGATTGGAAGGCAGACACAGCTGCGAATGAAACCTACCTAGAACCAGCCCTAGAATCTTAGATTAGAATCGCCAGGGGAACGAGCTGAGTGATCCTGGCTACATGAACTTTGTGGGCAGTTGTTGCGCGGGCGGGTGAGCAGCTCCAGCTCCAGTCGAGTTCACCACGTCGCCGGCAGCGCTTGGTTGCGGCAGGCTGGGCTTAACAAATACTTGTGGCAGTGTGTTGGCAGAGGTTCCCACCTGAGCGGCTCCGTTCGCAAGCAGGTCGTAGCGCGGCGACGCATGGCTCATCGTGGAGAGCACGATGGCGGCGGCCATTGCCTCCTGGTTGTAAAAGGCCGTCACTGCAGCCGGAATGGGCTGCTGTGCGACCGGACCCGATTGTCATTGGCGCGACGGCGTACTGGGTGCCGAGGATCCCATTCCTCCTCCGGTTGCTCCCTTGACGTTGTTCGGCGAGAAGGCCGCTTGAATGAACTGCTTCTCCATCTCCTTCAGATTTGACATTGTCTTCATTATATGCGGATCGGTGAGATCGTAAACTGGGCCCAGCGATCTGGGGCTATTGTAGATGTACATGTTATTCGTGCTGAAGCCCAGTCCATTGACCTGCCCCAGCGACGATCGTCCCCTGTTCTGAGTCTTGTTCTTGGGCTTTGGCTGAACTTTCTTTTGCGGCTTCGAGGCAGGAAAAACGCCCACGATCTCAACGCCATCCGACTCGCTGCTGCTCTCCCTGCCCACCGGCGTGGTCTGCGCAGCCTTGGAGGTCGAGGTGATGACGCTGGTGGTGGCAGCCAGCTGCTTGGACGTCTGTAGTATTTCGCTGGTACACTGGTAGTCATCCAGATTGATCACATGCGGCGAGGGCCGCGCTCCAGCGATCACCTTGGCTTGGTTGTCACTGGAATGCGGACTGGGATTCCCGCTGGCTGCCAGCGTGGCGGCCGTAATCAGATTGTAAAAGTTGCTACTGCTGTTAAGGTCCATTTTCCGGCTGGGCGAGGCCAAATCCAGTACCGTGCTGGCGGCTGCGGCTGCTACGGCAGCAGCATTTAGGGCCGCTGCGTGCGCCGAGGTGCTCGGCATGGAGAGCAGCGTGTCCAGGTGGGGCAGGTGGTTATTGTTGTTGTTATTGCTAATGGCTGGCACACTGACCGCCGCCGTGGCAGCCGGCGCCAGCTGGAATTGCGGTTGCTGGGGCAACTGCTTGGCCACCTTTTTCTTCGGCGGCTTGTTGCTCTGCTTGCTGGGCATCTCATTCAGCTTGCGCTTCAAGCTGTTGGAGGAGGCACTTGTAGCTGAGTCCGTGTCGGAGTTTCCCCGCGATCGGGGCTCCTCCGCTGGCTTCAGGTAGCTGCTGGCCTGCGGCAGTTGCTCGGGCACAGAAGCGGCAACAACGGGTTTCGGCTTCTCCTTTGCCTTCACTTTGGCGTTCTTGTAGCGGGTTATCTCCCGTTGCAGCTCATCCAAACGCATCCATCCGTTGGGCCACAGGTCCACCACCTTTTCCTTGAGATACATGTTTATAAACTCCTCCAGCGAATCCTTGCGCTTGGCGAGGAACGCGTAGGACGTCCAGCGAGCCTGGTAGACATCGTACAGCAGTTGACGCAACTCGCTGGTCCACTGGAACTTCTTGCGCGGCATCTTGGGCGGCAGCTCGGAGTTCACATCCGCCGCTCTGAAAAGGATTAGTCTAATGTAAAGCATTCTATACAACTCTTCCCTCTCCTGATCTTACGCCTGTTCAGCAAAGGTGCGCAGTTCCGTTTCGTAGTTGGCTATTGCCTTGGGCATGACCACAGCCACAGCCCGCCGCAGCTTGTCCAGCGTATTGGTGGACTTCTTCTTCTCCTCCTTGGCGCGCACCTGCTTGCCCTTGCGCAGCATGTAGTACTTGGGCAGCTGCAGCTGATACTCGATGTGCGAGAAGACCATGTTGCGTTCGTTGCGATCCGTGCAGAGTACCGCCTCGTACACTCTGGAGAATGATGAGAAATTAGAGGTTTTCCATTTACACCAGTGCGGTAAACTCACCGGAGTAGCAGAGGTGCGAGCCTGGCATCCAGGCTAAACTTCTTGCCGCACATGTCTCGACTCCTCACCGCTTCTTTGAAGCTGTTGACAGCGGTCACAATTTCCGCATCCAGCGTGGCGGGTAGCACAGTGTCGGCGGTGCGAAGATCTTGAAGGTAAGGAGAATGTAGATTAGATATATACAACAATAATATACAATTGATTAGTTCTCCTCATCAGTAACTCACTTTCCTGCCCCTCCTTGCCTGACTGAGCACCCTGTCTGTCTGCCCGCCCTTGCTCCGTGGCCGACTCCATGTCGCTACTGTCGCTGTCGGAGACGTCCGTGGAAATGCACTTTAGTTCGCCGTTGACGACGCCCTTGACAGCTGCCGTGCCGCTCTGCGACTTGAGGAAGCTGTCCCGCTTGGCCTTCAGCATGTCCTTGACCGTGGTCGTCTTGACCACCTTCTTCAGTGCCTGCGCCTGGGCTTGGGCCTGACTCTGGGTCTGGGGCAGGGCCTGCAGCTGACTGGGTGGCTGAATCTGGACCTGACCCGGAACTTCTTCCGTATCCGAAATCTCCACCGTACTGGGACGCGGGGAGTTCGAGGACGAGGAGGTGGTGATCGGCTTGACCGGTGGCTTCTTGCCGCCCGCCGAAGAGCTGGAGCCTGGCTTGGACTTGCCCGTAACAATGACCTTTGGTCGCTTGGCCACATGATTGTCTTTGTACTTGCTGCTCGATTTGGCCGTGGCAGCGGAGTCCTCGTCCTCGAGGCTCTCGCTCTCGGAGTCATCCTCGGAATCGCTTTCGTCCTCCTCATCGGAGTCGTCCTCGGAATCGCTCTCCTCCTCCTCCTCGCCCTCGCCCTCTCCCTCTCCATCGTTCTCCTCGTCATCGTCGGACGATGAGGAGGAACTTTCCGAGCTGGAGGAGATCATGCGCTTGCGCGATCGCTCCGGCATTTTGATGATGGCATCGGTTCGCGTGGTGTAGGACTTTTTGGTGAGGTTCTTGAACTCCAGGGCGCCGCAGTTGATGTAGAAGCCGCCCTCGAGGGTCTCCGCCTCCGCCGGTATTATTTCATCGTACTGGAAAAAGAAAGGAGTAAAAGTTTAAGTTTAATGTACTATATAATTAGTTGGAAAAATATTAAAAAAATTCCTAAAGGGTAAACATAATCCCTAAGTAGATTATACTTCTTCTTACAGCATCGGTGTTGTCGATGAAGGAGTCCGACTCATCGTAGCCCATGCCAATGTCCACGTAGTCGTCCTTTTTGCTCTTGCCCCTGCCTGTGGCATAGGAGTTGCCGTACTTGGCCTCCAGCTCCTTGACGATCCGCGCCACATCGTCATCGTTGTCGGCGAAGGGATCGGCGTTATTGCAAGTGGTCACCTGCTTCAGCTTTTTAGCCTTTTTCTGTGGGTTACAAACGTTTTAGAGGGGGTTTTCTCTAGAGAATTAATCAACTACCTTCTCCAAGTACAAAAGCCGGGGATAGTTAAACTCGGGATACTTGTTCGAATCGGTCTTGAACAGATCGAGCTCGATGCGGATGCACTTGGCGGGCTTGGCCGCGGGCTTGGAACCGTTGCTGGAACCGGCGGACGGAGGAGCATCCGGCTCCAGGAGGTTGCTGCCGAAGCGCGAGAAGCCCGCATCGCCCTGGATGATCGAGGTGAGGGTGACGCGCTTGTGCTCGCCCCCCCTTGACATTTCCGGCGGGCAGAGTAACGGAATATCAGTGGTGGATTAATGCTAATTCGAACCCAAAGGGCCTTCCCGCCCTTTTTTTTCGAAAGAGCCGCGTGTTCTTCGTCGCTCTGTTCTCTCCGCTCCTCTCCTCTCTCCCTCTCCCTCTCGCAGCCAAACAAAAACAACTGAGACGTCGCTGCTGCTCCTCCTCTTCCTCCTTCTCCTGCTGCTTTTCCTCTTGCTTCCTCTTCTTCTGGGGATATGTCTGTTTTAGGTTTTCTGCACGTACACCAAGCAACCACTTAATAACCGTGGCAATTTCACTGCTAACTGCACTTGGTTGGCTCACAAGTACCGTTTATCAACATAAACAAATAGAGAGGACCTGCGCCGGACTGCAGATTGCACCACTTTAATCGCTGCCGCCCGCTTTGCAGCTGCATCCGCCACCCACGGCCACGAATAATTGTCACTTTTCTGGGGGAAAGAAAAAGTGGAAACTTTTTTGGGGGTTTCGAATTGGTGAGCTCTGCCGGCACGAAAACAACACAATCTTTAACGGCCGAACACCGGGGACGAAACACACTCAATCGACGCTATCAATGGGGACATTTAAACGAGTGGGCCAAGCGCTTTTCGCACGGCCAAGAGCGCGATTCTTAAATTGTTTCTTATTAAAATCCTCAACGCTACATTCTCCGCTCCACCCCTCTCCACCGATCCGACCCTGCTTTTGGCTTTCGCAGCCGCGTTGCGCAGCACTGGTCGGTTTCGCAAATTAAACGCGGCCGTTCACACCTGCACGCATTAAGTGCCCACACTTGATGCAATCCGCTGCAGCGGACACCATTCAATTAATAATTTAATTTTATAATTACCAACTATTAACGTTTTAGAAACTAGTAACTCAAAAACAAAAATTTCGGCTTTAAAATTTAAAAAAAATGTATTTAGAATCACACGTGGTATGTTGTTTTGATTATCTCTCATTAGAGAATAAATTTGTTGTATGCAAAAGTAGTAGAAAGAGTCTTACACTAATGTCCTTGATCATATGATTGTAAATAACTTGATGGAATCAGCATAATGATTTGTAGTCAAGGCATTCTGTCAGTTTAATCCTGGATTGAACAGGGAAAATCTAAGTAAGAAAAATGTACCCACGTATACCATGGGTTTGTTTTAATAAATCCCCTAAAAAGCCTTAAAATCTATTTTTCTTTACTGCTTCAGTGCAAATTCGTTATAATTGAGAAAAGTCTGCAAAACTTTCCAAAAACTAGCCAGATCTGGCTTGAAAGCAGCCGACAATGAGCGCTGGCTGCTATTGCATCCCTGTGCAGTGCCCACATTCCACACACATTTCAGGTTTGTTTTGAACAAAACGCTCCGCTGCGCAACACTGCGCGGAACAGCTGCTTGGAGTAGCGGACCGCGGGTGGGGGCCGTTTTTTTGGGGCGACTCATTATTATTTCGTTTGTGGAGCTGGTTACTTCGTGGAAAGTCAAGTGCTCGCTGTTTAATCAACGTAAGTGCAAGTGAGTCGCAGTACGTGAGCTTGAGGGGGGTTTTACTATGCGCCAGCACCACCAAAAAAAACAAAGAGTTGCATGCACAGAAATTCGAATTCGGTCGAAACTGCAAGCTGTTATTATAACGGGAACGGGAACGGGAATGGCTGTGCTCGTTATCGGGTGAAAACGATTAGGATTGTGCAATTAACAAAAGTGTGCCGTGCTGCTCTCCTCACAACCCAATCCCCAAGTGGTACACACCCATACATACATGCCAACTTATGCTGCCTTTATGCTTGCAGCCCCCACTTTTAGGTCTTTACACGTCTGTGTGTATATTTATCCAGCGAGTGCAAGTGACCGACGTCCAAAGAGCAACGTACGGAGCTCCGACTTTCGCCGGATAAGTGACTCCATCCATTCCTGTTCAGGAATCGAGCCGAACAAAAAGCACCCACCACCCCACCCACTTGTAAAAAGTGTCATGAGACAATAAAGGAACATAAAGAAAGAAAGGAAACGCGAAGGGAAGAGTGGAGCTCCTTTGTTACATCTCTGGAAGAATCGCTCGGCTCTGAAACATAGGTGAGTAATACTCCTCCTCCATTAGCAAATTACGGGGCCTTGTACTTGTAGCTCCAAAACTACAAGGGGAAATCGTTCAAATAAAGAACAAGACACTACTATTGTAAGATAAGAATTGCCACTGCTTTCTTTTATCTAAAGTGACGTAGTTCAAGGTAAATACAGTGCACACTCGATACTGAAAATTAAAAGGTTAGGAAACTATATTTAAAATTATTTTTGTTAAGTAGTTTTTAGAACTTATAAAGTTTTATATGAAAATAAAGTAAATAGTTTTTTTACACACGGTTCACCTTAACGAGTGTCGCCTGTACCACTGGCGAAATGATAAACTACTCCCCAGACATTGAAATTCCCATACCGAAATGGAGTTACGGCATTCGACCTTGAAACATGTGGCCGAAATTGGTTTTCCAATTTTCTATGAAAAGCAGTGTTTATTTTTTTGGTAATTCATCCATTAAAGGCGGCGGCGGGTTTTCCATTTGAAATGGACTGAAGCCGCAAACCAAAATAAAGCGATACACATAAACAAACAACTGGCAGCAACAAGTGAGCGCACAAATTTAATTCGCTTTTAATGCGTCATTATTGCCAATTTGTGACATGCTCGAGTTGCTTTTCTGCTACATACGTTTTCGCCGATTTTTCGCATCCCCAACACATTCGTACGGTTGACGATCGTTATCAGAGATCGGAGACAGGAAAGCTATTAAGTGTAAATGAGCGATACTTAACCTTTTATACGATTTTTATTTTTAATCATAATAGAAAATTCTGTCAAAATGATAAGATGAAGAATTTCTTTTGGGAATCTACCAAATTTTACGAACAGCTTCCGCTTCATAGTTTATTATCATCGTAAAGCCGCTGGTCGCATGCTATGTCATAAATTATTTATTAATTGTCTTGTTGTACATATGTACATTAGACAACTGGAAGAAACAAATAATAAAATAAAATATAATTATTCGACTGTACTTGCGCCACTGAGATATTTATATTATTACAAACCAAGAGTCATCCTAAAAATTAAAAATTTCCCATTGCTGCATGTTGATAAGAACGTGTATCATCGTAATTGCAATCAATTTTAGTACAGCAAAGATCATTGGCCGCTCCCAGATAAGATCGAACCATATTTTATCGCTGACATATTAATTTTTCAACAAGAACCGCTGGTGGTTGCCTTCACCACTAACCCGACCACCCACTATATGTACATTTGCGGTTCCATTTTTAAAACAATGACGCATCTACGGAAATAAATTACATGAACTGTGCCTGACGGCCCAGACTCATTACCTAGAGACGACAACCCATCGATGATAGTGTTATATAGCATTCGATTCTTCTTTGACTTTTTCAGTAGAGAGCGATGACGGAAAGCGTGGAGCTGATGAACAAGTACGGCGAGCCACTGCGCTACGACCGCAACTTTACGGGTCCCCGGCAAAGGGATCGCAGCTGCACGGATGTGCCCTGCCTGCTGCTCTTCGTCCTCTTCCTGGGAGGATGGGCCTACATCGCCCAGTACGCCATCAAGAACGGTGATCTCAACGCACTGTTGGTGCCGACAGACTCTTTCAACCGAAAGTGTGGCAAGGACTCCGGGGTGCTGAATAAGAAAAATCTATTCTTTTTCGACATGAATAAGTGCATAGATCCCATCGTACCCCTCACTGGATGTCCCACGCCGCAGGTAAAATTTAACATTTTAACTTAAAAAAATTCATAAATATTTACTAAAATGTTTTCTTATCACAAAAGTACACAGAAAACACACCGATATGAAATAGGGTTATTTCTACCTTATGAAATAGGGTTATTTCTACCTTATTTCATATCGATAAAAAGCCGATATGGTTTAGGTCAAACTTAAGATTTGAACATATCAACATGATATTTTATCATATCATAAAAAATAAATAAAAATAGATTAACATAATCTTTATTCATATCAAAATGATATGAATAACTTGATCTTAAAAAATATCAAATTGACCATTACCATTTTTTGTTCTGTGTAAAATCTTAATTTTATAGTTAGTTAATTTCATTTAAATTAAACCTATTTAAACAGGTGTGTGTGGAGACCTGTCCCAGGCAGACATTCGTTTGGGACACGATGAAGGATCAACTCAGCTTCGCGGAGCTGCACAGTCGTCTCATCTGCCTGACGGAGGAGCACAAGGCGCAGATTCGCACCAAATCGGACATTGAACAGGCCATTAAGCAGAATCAATGTGCGCGCTGGTACATCAAGAGTGCTCCGTTCCTGCAAAGATGCCTCTTCGAGTTTTCCCAGGGAGTGTGCGACTACATCCCCTCGTTCCTTCTGCAGGGAGGAAGATCGAGGCGGGAGCTGCAGCTGCTGCCAGGAAACACCAGCACAGAAACGCAACGGCAGGCCCAGGTGATGGCCCTGAGCATGGCGGAGGCCCAGGCTCTGGTTGTTCCACAGGCGAATAGCAAGCAAACGCCAGTGGAGGAGGAACCGATCGTACAGTGCAAGCGCAGACTCAACGAGGCCGTTATCAAGGAGAAGATGATGCAGACGGACACGAGGCTGGCCAAGCTGGTGGGCAACATGGTGGCCCACTTCTACAATGGCACGCACGACGCCCAGCGTTTGGGAGAGGAGATAGTGGAGGATCTGGTCAACTCCTGGTCGATTGTCCTGGTGGCTTGCTTCTGCACTCTGATCGCCTCACTGATTTACATCGCCCTCATGCGCTGGCTCTCGGCTCCGATCCTATGGTTCTCCATCTTCGGCGTACTTATTGGTCTTTTGGTGGGCATCTACTACACGGTGAATCAGTACCTTTTCTGGGAGAAAACTCCAACGGTGCCGCTGCACGGCTTGAATTTGCAATCCACGGTCAAGAACGTACTGCAAAACCAGAACACCTGGCTCTATCTGTCCATCTTCGTGGGCGTGTGCTTCGTGGTCATCCTACTGCTGGTGATTGTGCTGAGGAAGCGCATCCGGATAGCCATTGCCCTGACCAAAGAAGGCAGCAAGGCGGTGAGCAGCGTGATTAGCACCGTCTTCTTCCCCATCTTCTCCTGGATACTCTTCATGGCCGCCATAGCGTTTGCCATCGGTGTGGGCTTGTATCTTGGCTCCATTGGAGACCCCTCGTTCAGAATGGTGCGTCAGTTGACGGAAAGTGGCGAAGTGACCACCGAGGATTGCGTCTGCGATGGTCCAGCCATTAATTACACAGTGGGTGGATCATGTGTCCCGCTGGTGTTCCAGGAAAATTGCGCCGTTCGGCAGACTACTTTTTTTTCACAACGCATTGCCTGCTCGAAAACCACCTGCAGCTTTGACTCGATTACCAATCCGCCCAAGATTAAGTTCGCTATCGTCTACAACGTGTTCGGATTCCTCTGGCTGAGCTTCTTCATATCAGCCTTTAGCTACATGGTGCTGGCCTCCACGTTCGCCCGGTGGTATTGGACCTTTAAAAAGAGGGATGTGCCGTACTTCACCCTCACCAGGGCCTTCTGTCAGACCGCTTTCTATCACCTGGGAACCGTGGCGTTCGGGTCCCTCATCCTGGCTATCGTCCGGTTGATCCGATTGGTGCTCGAGTACATCCATGAGAAGCTAAAGAAGTACGACAATGCGGTGACGCGGGCCATCCTCTGCTGCATGCGCTGCTTTTTCTGGCTGCTGGAGACCTTCCTGAAGTTCCTCAATCGGAATGCCTACATCATGTGCGCCATTCACGGCAAGAACTTCTGTTCGAGTGCCGCGGACTCGTTTAACCTGATTATGAGGAACTTCCTGCGTGTGGTTACACTAGACCAGGTCACGGACTTTTTGTTCTTTTTGTCGAAACTGCTGCTAACCGCGGGAGCGGGGGTGTCCACCTACTACTTCCTGGCCAATAATCCGGCCATTATTCAGCTACATTACAATGCAGTGCCCACCACGGTGGTGGTGATTGCTGCCTTCCTCATAACGAGCGTGTTCTTCGGCGTCTACTCGACGGCCGTGGACACGCTGTTCCTGTGCTTCCTGGAGGACTGCGAGCGAAACGATGGCTCCCCGGAGAAGCCCTTTTTCATGTCCAAGCAGCTAATGAAGATCCTTGGCAAGAAGAACAACCTTCCGCCGCGTCAGCGCCGCGGGAAGTAGAAGATTCCGACGGGAAAAGGCAGTGCAAATTATCAGTTAATTGAGATAAAAGATATATATATAAATATGTATTTAACCTAGCCCGAAATCGAAAGGGGTTGTGAGCGATTGCTCAACCGGCTGCAATAGGTTTGCATGAAATGCAGACTTCTTTGCCAATACTCTTAATCTTTAATCTAATGTATATAATACGCCAGTATCCATATGTAAAAGTTTTTTGTGCGGCTAGATGTGCGATCGAACATGTGATAGGCGCGGACCATAAAGACCAAAAGCAATACGATACAATACAATAATTTGTATACAGAAACACAAACCTACATATCTCACTTTCATGCAGCTTAAGTTAACGATATACTTATATCACTTTGATTATAGTTTACGAATTTAATAAAAATGAATTTAATTGAAATCATATTTTCTTTTTTTGTTTTTGATTTTAATTTACTTTCAAACATTCTTTCAGACATTTTAAATATAATGACAACCCTTAATTTAAGTTTTTATTTTTTAATAAATATTATATTTTCAATTAAAGTGTTTTTAAAATTATTTCACTTATTACTTAGCTCAAACGCTCAAATCATTCATCTCAGAAAGTCTGATTTTGCAAGGAAAAAAAGACCGGACAAGCCGTAATAAAGAACAGTAGTTATAAGGATGTGTGACTTTTAAAAGAATATATAATAAAACTTAATACTGCCTCAACTGTTGTTTATTTACTATTTATTTACAAACCTCAAATCCAGAGAAAACCTTGCCTACTTTCAGCTGTTCATATAAATTCTTAAAAAAGCGATAAGGCATCTTATACATTCAAACTAATACTGCCCTTAGAATTTAACATTTAAAAAACACTTAGTTCTGTTCTGCACAGCGTCGTGACCAGACTTATCGGTCTTAAAAATTTGAGAACTCCACACACGGGCCCGAGATTCGGATACCACCAATTTTGTAAGCGCTTCAAACTTTACAAAATAATTTTTTAAGAGGTGCCGAAATAAACAATTCTTTTTGCGATTCCTATTTTTTTTATTTTTTTTTTGTATCCACAGTCTTAAAAAATATGTGTTCAAAAAAACGCGTTTTTAATGAAAATTCTACCTATTTTTTAGTTATTTATTTTATTTTGACATTGCTAAGTACTCAGCAATTTTTAAGGCACCTTCTAAAATTCGAAAAACAATAAAAAATGTTTTCAAAATGGCGTTTTAAATTATTTTTAAAGTTTTTGTACGTTTAAATCAAATAAAAACACCTCTTAACGAGGTAAAAACTAGTGAAACTAGGTGCGATACCTTCAACGTACCACATTTTAATTTAAAGATTTTTGACGAAAAATTATTACACTCTCACAATTTTATACTACTTATCATATCAACTAAAATAATTTGACGGGGCATTTATCCCATCGTGCCCCAACAGCTCCAAATTTCGAAATTATCCCTTCTTCAAGTGATAAAATGCTTGCCCAGCCCATCAGGAACAATGTTGGTCAAACGTTTTATAAGTTCTTTTTAAGATGACGGAAATGACGTCGTTTCTTGTCTTTTGTATGTAATTTGATTATATTAAATAATTAGTTATCACGCAGATTGTCGAAAAATCTGACTCAGTGAATTACACATACATATGTACAATGTACATTGTATTTGATTTCAGAGAAAAACTTGACAATTTGTTCCGCTCTCTGATACCGAAATTTTCAAATTCCCGAGGAAATGAGATTTTATTCTTCGATATGTCAATGAATAACTCAAAAAATATTTTAAAAACGAGGACGGAAGCTAACTTCGGCAAGCCGAAGTTTTAATACCCTTGCAGATTTTACGAATTAAAACTTGACTAGACTAGCAACATGCATTAATAAACAACAAAATATTTTATAATTGAAAAAATAAAATTTTAAAATTTTTCACCCTATTGTTCCTATGGGAGCTATAGGATATAGACGCCCGATCGGCACGCGCGTTTACCCTAATGAAGGTACGCACAAAAAAATACGATTTGGAAAGTTTCATGGGAATAGCTAATATTTTGCGCGAAATATCCTGAAAAACGTCAAATTTTGACCGATTTCACCCTATTGTTCCTATGGGAGCTATAAGATATAGACGTCCGATCGGCACGCGCTTTTACCCTGATCAAGGTACGCACAAAAAAATACGATTTGGAAAGATTCATGCCAATAGCTCTTACACTGAGCGAAATATCTTCATTTTTGTGAAAGCTATATCCGATTGTTCCTATGGGAGCTATAGGATATAGACGTCCGATCGGGTCGGCTTTCAAACTTGATCTGCGTACACATGTTTTAGGACGACTGTGAAAGTTTCAAGGCGCTAGCTTTTAAACTGAGCTCGCAAACGGTATTGAAACAGACATACAGACGGACAGACGGACAGACGGACATGGCTATATCGACTCCCCTATTGATCCTGATCAAGAATATATATACTTTATGGGGTCGGAAACGTCTCCTTCACTGCGTTACAAACTTCTGACCAAAATTATAATACCCTCTGCAAGGGTATAACAACACACGAGTCATATTTTTTTCAACCAAAAATAATAAGAATATTAGGAAACAAACTTTAGAAATCAAATTTCCACATCTAAAAGCTGAAACAACCGTTTATTTTCTCATCTCAGCTAATGATATTGGTGGAAAAAAGTGTAAACAAAAACCAAAACCCGAGATTTATCAATTTTACTACAAAATATCTTTATAAGGAATTTTTTCAGTAAAAAATGAAGGAGAAAAGCGAGGATAAAGAGACGGAGTATGGCAAGCCATTGACCTACGACAAAAACTTTTCGGGACCACGACAGCGCAATCGAAGTTGTACGGATGTGCCATGCCTGCTGCTATTCGTCCTCTTCCTAGGAGGATGGGGCTTCATCGCCGAGTTTGCTGTCAGGAAAGGCGATCTCCAAAGGCTTGTAGCGCCCATGGACTCATCCAACAAGGTGTGCGGCGTAGATCCCGGCGTGGAGAATAAAACGAACGTATTCTATTTCGACATGACAAAGTGCCTTAATCCGCTTTTGGACTGTAAGACACCAAAGGTGAGTCAGATTTTTGTAAATAGAAGTCTATGTATAGTCTATTAATCTAACTGGTTTTAATGCCAATGCTCTTAAGAATAATTCTAAAAATTTTTGATTAAAAATTTTACAGATGAAGCAAATAAAAAAGAAATTTATTTTCCAATACTAAACTTTAATCTATTTACAGGTGTGTTTGGAGTCCTGTCCCACACAGGTGTTTCATTTTGATTTAATGAGGAGGACCAAAACTTTCAAAGAGCTGCACAGTAGACTTATCTGCCGGACGGAGGAGGATAAGTCGAAAATTCGTACGGTAGCGGAAATGGAACATGCCATCGATCAGAATCTATGTGCGCGGTGGTACATCAACAGTTCTCCCTTTCTCAACCGGTGCCTCTTTGACTTGTCTTTCAATGCATGTGATTTAATCTCCTCATCCGCGCCGCAGGACCAAAAATCACTGTCAACTGAAAAGGGTGTTGATAGCATCACAGCCAAAATCCTAGAAATGGTCTTGAAAAGCACGGGTCAAACGGCTGAGAATTGCAAACTCGGATTCAACAGTGACATTGTTAAGGAGAAGATGGCGCAAACGAAGTCGCAAATGGGTAAGATGGGATGCAATATGTTGCCCATCTTTTTCAATGGCACCGAAAAAGTGCAGAAAGTATGCGAGGAAGTAATCGAGGATCTGGAGAAGACCCCGATGTTTCTTCTAAAGGCCGGCTGCTGTGCGCTGATTGCCTCACTGATCTATATAGCCCTGATGCGCTGGTTCTCGGGTCAGATCTTGTGGTTCTCCATCTTCGGCGTGCTCATCGGCCTCCTGTTGCCTCTTATTTACTGCATTACTCAGTATATCCACTGGAGGAATGCAACTGAGGAGCCAAAAACAGATCTCAGCGTAGAAAATATCGTTCAAAAAGTCTTGCATGACCAACACTTCTGGCTCGGTCTATCTATCTTTCTTGGCCTGTGCTTCGTGGTCATCCTGCTTATAGTGATTGTGCTGCTGAAACGCATTCGGATTGCGATAGCCCTAGTAAAAGAGGGCAGCAAGGCGGTGAGCAGTGTGATCAGCACCATGTTCTTCCCCATCTTCTCCTGGATCCTTTTCATAGTCGCAATAGCGTTTGCCATCTTCGTGGGCCTGCATCTGTTCTCCATTAAGGAAGCGTCTTTTAAGATGGTGCGTCAGTCGGCGGAAAGCAAGGAAATCTGCAAGTGCGAGGGCCCGGCTTCCGGCTACACAGTGGGTGAATCTTGCAGCCCGGAAGAATTTGAGCAGCACTGTTTCATTCAGCAGACCGGAGATCACGAGAAATCACCAGTGCCTTGCTCTAGCACCACCTGCAGCCTTGACGACTTCGTTCTTTCGCCTCTGATTAAAGCGGCCCTTTTCTACAACGTCTTCGGCTTCTTCTGGCTGAGTTTCTTCATCTCCGCCTTCAGCTACATGGTGCTGGCTTTCACCTTCGCCCGTTGGTACTGGACCCTAAAGAAGCGGGATGTGCCATTCTTCACCCTGACGGGAGCTTTCTTCCAAACTGCTTTCTACCACCTGGGAACCGTGGCCTTCGGTTCGTTCATCCTGGCCCTGGTTCGCGTTGGCTGTTTGGTTCTGGAGTATCTTAATACGAAGGTGAAGGCACATGACAATTGGGTGACTCGGGCCATCCGATGGCTCCTGCGTTGCTTGTTCTGGCTTCTGGACGCTTTCCTGAAGTTCGCGACTCATAATGCCTACATTATGTGTGCCATCCACGGCAAGAACTTCTGCTCCAGTGCCAAGGAATCCTTTAAGTTGGTTCTGAGGAACTCCCTGCGAGTGGTAACGCTTGGCTTCGCCACGGAGTTCCTGTTCTTTCTTTCCAAAGTGTTGCTATCGTCTGGCGCGGGTGTGTCCACCTACTTTTTCCTGTCAAATTATCCGGATGTTATCAAACTGCATTACAATTTAGTGCCAGCCATATTGGTGGCGATTTCCACCTACCTTATAACGTACGTGTTTTTCGGTGTCTACTCCACGGCCGTGGATACGCTGTTCCTGTGCTTCCTGGAGGATTGCGAGCGAAACGATGGCTCGCAGGAAAAACCCTATTTCATGTCCAAGCGACTAAAGAGGATCCTGGGCAAGAGGAACCAGTAGAAAATTATATTCCCGGGAAATAATTACATTTTTCATTTAGCATGAAAAACTTATTTATTCTAATGTATGTTTTGTTTCTATATAATACTACATTTTACATCTCTTTCAACAACGGGCCACCAATATCTTTAGAATTTCAAATTCAAGCCCTAATAAATATACACTACTATTATCTCAGCAGCAATTGCGGTATTTCATTAACTTTCACTAATCTATAATATCTTTAAGCACACTATCGCTGATGTTTTGCAGATCGTCATCACCTCCGATCTGATCAAAACCAAACTTGTGCGAGACATTTAATGCATTCTGGTCGTTTTCTGCGTTTAAATCGGGTTCAAGTGACAGCGAGTCCTGTAAAAGAAGTTCCATCACATAGTTCATTAAAAATGTGGCTGCCACTTACATTAAATGATCTGTCGTTAAGCTGAAGACGAGGAGTATCTTGCTGTTGGCTGTCGCTGGGAGGTACAAGCGCATCCAGTCGACCAGATGGTGAGGTGCTGAGATTCAAGACATTCCGAGACACCTGGAGAACCTTCATCACCGCTGCATTCTTGGCGATCAGCGAGCTGTTGTTTTCCGAAGTGCGCGGAATACGTTCGATGCGGGTGCACTCGCTGCCGTTCAGCGGTGTAAAGGGATCGCTGGGATCCGCAGGTGACCTCTGCGGGGAGATAGCCGCTGCTCCTGACACCGGTGGCTCATCGAAGCCAAAGGAAGCCTGCATTTGCTTCCACTTGCTTCCGAGAGCGGAGAGATTTGGCTGCGGCGCCGTCTTGACTTTGGATGTATTCTTGTGAATGGTGCGCAGCATTTGCATTGGATCGTTGATCTTGGATCGGTTTAAAGTGCCATTCAAGTCAGTGCCAGTCGACTGATCAAGGATTTTTGGCTTTCGTGCTGATCGAGGCGGCGCAGGTGCTAGAATTGCAAAGATAATTAGGCTCGCTGTCAAGAAAAGATCAGTGATAACTACATACCAAGCAAACTATTGCTTAACGCATCGAACTGTTTGTCATTAAAATCGTCCTGCAGTGCCAGACGAACTGGAGCATTGCGGCCAATGCCGCCGGCTAAGTCGATCCTGATGGGAGGAGTGGAGACAAACTTGGAGCTGATAACTGAATCAAAACGAGGCGTGGCCGGCGGATGCAACTGCCCCCTGGCGGAGGCACTTCCACTTCCACTGGCACTTTCCTTCTCCTTTTTGATCGGCTCATTTAGCTTTTTAAATATGTTGTTGAGCTGGACTTCGGTCTGGGTCAGTTCCTCGCGAAGGGCCTGCAACTCGGTGGTGACAAACGCATTTGATTCGTTGTAGTGGTCGTTGGCATCCAACTGATCGGCAATCGGGCTACTGATCCGATTGAACGCGTTCACAAGGGCTTTCATCCTGGAGCCACCCAAGGGATCGTAAAAGTCTGGGAAGGAATTGATTTAATTGATATTTAGGTTTTCAGGGACACAAACTAGAATCTCTCACCACCTTCTGTGACAAGATCACAGTCGAATAGCACTCGCAATCCCCGCAGGGCCTTGTCTACCGCCTCCCTGCTCTGATTGTGCTCCGCCTGCTTGGATTGGAACTGTTCGATGGCCTCCTTGAGGCCACATAGAGATTTCTCCAGGTCCACTTTCCTGTCGGTTGGTTGGGTTTGCACCCGCTCCACGCCGAGTGCGGCATGGGCCTCGAATTCGTCCAGGAAACCATCGTCCACCAGCTGCTCCTCGGGCACTCCCATGTCCGTTGATAGTTCCGATATCTGTCGCCTGATCTTCTGCATTTTTTGGCGCAACAGGACCGTATTCTCCTCCAGATTGGCCACATACCCGGAGGAGTACTCCTTCATCACGGCATTTTGGCGGGCCATTACCTTGGCGCACACATAAGGGGTTCCCGCCTCCAGGCCGAGTGACTTCTCGCGCTGTTTGATCTGCTCCTGGATCACAAAACCCACGAACTCAAGCAGAAAGTTGATGAACCTCATGCCACCGGGCATGACCACCAGATAGGACTTGATGTTGGCCCAGTGCAGCTGGTGCTTTTCGTTCAGATGCTTCAGGTACTCCACTGTGCTGGACCTGAAGTTGGCCTCCGACTTCTTGTCCGTGATGGGCCAGAAGAAGCGCCGCTTGAACTCCGCGGGATCGAGCAGTCGGAAGAGGTAGTGCATCACGTGAACGAAGGCCACTTGGTTGGGTTTCAGGAACATGTCCCAGGCAATCAACTTGCGTAGGTCATCGGGCATGGGATGCACCAGAGCCAATCCCTGCAGCTTCCTGTGCAGCTTCTCGCTCTGCTCCTTCTCCTCGGCCTTCCAGGGCGCAATAGTTGTGCGATCCATACTCTTATTCAATTAAATTAAATTAAATTCAAAAAACAAAAAGTAACTATGGCGTTGGTGTTTGAAGTTTTCCCTCGGTTTTTGTTGTTTTTTTTATGCTGCGCAGTGTTACCAGGCGAACTTACACAAAATCATTAAACAAAATGTTCTCACTATATGTTTTGTGGCGCCAAACGCAACACAGTGGACGCAACGCGCGGAATGTTTGAATATTAAAATAATCTAGCTATTAAGCCATTAACAAAAAAAGTATTTTGCATCAAATCAGGAAATTAAAAAATAATAATAAGTCTTAATTTTCGGGTATCAAAAATTACGTTTTGCCATTTTCCAACAGATGGCGCATATTGCAGGAAGATATACTAATTTAAATAAATGATAATGACTTTTAAATACCTTTTACTCAGCTAAAGGGGGTGCAAGCAGCACAGCGACTGATTGAAAGCGTGCCATCTAGCGAAAATAATCAGACAATTTCTTAGATGTCGCATTTTATTTTTATCTTATTTGTAATAAGCATTCGAAAAGTATTTTAACATTTTTTACCAATTTTTTAATCACTGTATAACGTATATTTTATCACGGTGCTAGCTACCGGAAGCAAAGTTGGATTATTTGCACACCGTAATCAGAGCTACAAATTTAACTGGAACTAGTATAACGCACCATTTTTCATAAAATCTTTGTTTACTTGGAAATCTAATGCTGGGTTTTAAGATATAAACTTAACTTAAGCCGGCCTAAAAATTAAATCCACAGTTTTGTTCTGCACACCACAGAAACCACACGTATCGTTCCTAAAAGCCTTTTTAAGACTTTAGTGAAATCCTGCCACATAGCACTACCAACTTATAGATGAAAACAGATTTTTCATCCTACTGCCTATATTTTACCCTGAGTTCCTTAAAACAGGTATATAAATAATAAACAACACAGAAGCTTTAAACACTTAACCATAGATACTTTAAATGATGAAATACTTTGTATAGGACAATATTTATAATTCAGCCGTTTATAAAAAGTGTAAAAAATCGCGAATTTTATCTAAGATCTTTTAAATTTTGTTGGTTTGCAAATTACTATTCACTCTTTACGGTTTTATCTACAGACCCTGTTGAACACGCTTGGAAAGATTACATTTTTGATAATTATTATAAGTTTGGAAGCAGATTTAACAGTTTCCGGTCCAGATTCTGGTTCATATGTATTTCTATGAAAGAGTTGAAATTGGTTGACCTTTAAATTTTAATTAGTCATTTATACTATTTTTAAAGAAACGTAAAATTCCATTTTTGTTGCCAAACGAGTACTTTTCATTGTAGACCAACCCTAAAAATTATTTTAATCGCTAAAGCTTGTAAACTATATCATATTATTCTGCACTGATTTTTTTAAGTAAAAAGCAATGACGGAGTTGATGAAGATTAGGCGGCCGCTGAAGCGAAGCTTAACGGATGTGCCCTGCTTGGTGCTCTTCCTCTTTTTCTTGGGTGGATGGGGCTGTATCGCATATTACGCCTTCACCCAAGGAGATTTTATGCCGAGGGACTCCTTTCAGCGGAAGTGCGGACAGGACTACGGAGTCCAGGACAAAAAGAACCTGTTCTTTTTCGACCTAAACGAGTGCTTTGATCCAATGGTACCTCTTATGGGATGTCCTACACCGCAGGTAAACTATAAAATGAATCATAATACAAAATATTTATTAAAGCATACCTAAAGATAGAATTATAATTCTATAAGCACTAAGTAAATTACGTATTTTTTAAATTCTTCAAACAGGTGTGCCTAGACACTTGTCCTACCGAGACGTTCGTCTGGGACACAATGAAGGACAAACTCAGCTTCCAGGAGTTGCATAGTCGCCTCATCTGTCAGTCAGAAAAGCGCAAGGCGATGCTACTCTCAAAAGAGGACATCGAGCATGCCATTAAGCATAAGGAGTGTGCCCGCTGGTACACCAAAAGCGTTCCATTCCTGAACCGATGTGTTCCCAAGATTTCCCAGCACATATGTGATTACATTTCCGAGCAGAAGGCCGGAAATGCATCCTCGGAAACCAAACTCCAGATCTTTGTCACCTTAAATATCACAAATGTTATTCCAAAAGCGGAGGAGGAATCATTGATCGAGCAGTGCAAACGCAGTGTCCACGAGATTGTCTTGAAGGAAAAGACTATACGGACAACGGACAGGCTGGGCAAGATGGTGGGCAACCTGGTGTCTCGCATCTACACCCACGACGCCCAGCGACTGGGCAGGAATATTGTCGAAGATGTGATGCACTCCTGGTTGATTACCTTGGTTGCGGGCTTCTGCACGCTGATTGTCCTACTGGCTTACCTGCCCCTCTTGCGACGGCTCTCGACTATTGTCTTGTGCATTCCCTTCCTGGCTGCGATTATTGGATTCGGTGTAGCCCTCTACTACACTGTGAAGCAGTATCTGTACTGGAAGGAGGAGAGCAATATAAAGATACCCGATTTTGTCCCGGGAGCCTGGTTAATCAACACCTGGAGGGACCCCAACACCTGGCTCTCCCTCGTAATTATCGTTAGCGTTTGCCATGTGGCCATCCTGATTCTCCTGCTCGTACTAAGGAATCGCATCCGGAAGGCGATCGCTCTAACCAAGGAGGGAAGCAAGGCGGTGATCAGTGTGGTTAGCACCGTGTTCTACCCCATCCTCACCTGGCTACTCACCCTTGCCGCCCTAGTGTTTGCCATCGTCGTGGGTTTGCATCTGGTCTCCATTGGAGATCCTTCGTTTAGAAAGATGCAACGGTCGACGGCATTCAGTGAGAACTGCATCTGCGATGGACCGGCCAGTGACTACACCTTGGGTGGATCCTGTGACCCACTTGTGTTCCAGCAGAACTGCTCCCTTTCGCTGTTCGGAACTTCCCTGCGAACACCTTGCTCGAAAACCACTTGCAGCTTTGACAAGATTATTAATCCTCCGGAGGTTAAGTGGCTTCTCCTCTACAACTTCCTCGCTTTCCTCTGGCTGTGCTCCTTCATCTACGACTTTGGCTACATGGTGTTGGCCTCCGCCTTCGACGCCTGGTACTGGTGTGATTCCTCCAAGAACATCCTGACCCGGGCTTTCGGCGAGACCTTTTTCCACATGGGAACGGTGGCCTTTGGATCGCTGGTATTCAAGTTCGTTTGGATGCTCCATCTCTTGCTTAGCCTCATATATACTATGCTGAAGAGGTGGGACAATGTGGTGACACGACGCATCCATAAATGCATAACCACCGTATCCTTTCTTAATCCGAATGCCTACATCATGTGCGCCATCAGTGGCAAGAATTTGGTCAAAAGTGGCTTGGAAGCGTCGAAACTACAGGGTTGCCCCCTGAGTGGTGCGATTCCAAGGAAAGGTACGAAATGCATGTTCTTCTTCTCTACAGGACTATTAGTTGCCTGTGCGGCGGTGGCGACCTACTATTTCCTGATGTTTTTCCCGGGCGCCATTCATTATAAGGCGGTTACCATGACGGTTGTAGGAATTACAACCTTCCTTATCACGAGCACATTGTTCGACGTCTACTCGACGGCCGTGGACACACTGTACTTGTGCTTCCTTGAGGATTTTGCTGAGAACGACGGATCGGAGGAGAAGCCCTACTACATGACCAAGGAGCTAATGGAAATTCTGGGCTTGAAGAACAAGAGCAAGAATGTGGAAGTGGGACAAGATCATTAGCTTAAGTTTAAACATTGAATGTAATTGAAATATAAGTCCCAGAAGCCCTGTTTCTGTGCTAATCCGGATTATAAGTCACCTGATCTACTTTATAAAAAAATCGCGGTTTTATTTGAATTTTTCTTAGTGTTACCAGGTGTCGAAAACAATTCAACATTTAAAACTAAGCGGATTTTATTGCATGTTTACCAACAAATATATTTGTAATAATTACAATAAAAAACGATGAAAATAAAATTAAAAATTACTTAACATGATAATACTTTATTTTTTAATATTCAACTGTTTTTTCAAGTTGGCCGGATGGTATAAATCGACAGACGTTGAACGGTCATACTTTATAGTTTTCTTTTGTCGTTGGTCGGTCGCTGGAATTTTTTGGACGAATTTATATTTATTTTTAAGCCATTGGTAATTAATTATTTAACGTTAATGTCGGAGGCACCTTGACAAACTTAAAATGATTGTGATTGAGCAACACCCCGAATGTGGCGACTCTTTAATTCCCGGAAACCCTTGCATCCGGGTCCAACGTAGCACTTTCTTTTCGTCTGCAGCTGAGAAAAATCAATATATGCATGGGGTACAGAAATCGAATCTCCGCGTATATAGTATAGATTACAGATATCGCGATGGGGACAAGTGGACGTCCGCCCCCAAAACGATAATCAAATCAGCGTGAAAATATGTTTACGACAAGTCGCCAATCTTTCCAAGAAACCGAGATTGCCGCCGCGGTTTTGGAACAATGAACATGATTCATAAATTCTTTTGGGGGAATATGTAGTACGTATATATTCTGATTTAATTCCGCTTCTGTACTCGCAGACATCGGGGATCGGGCTGCCACAATGGGTTCGCTTTTCCGGAGCGAGGAAATGGCGCTATGCCAGCTCTTCCTGCAGAGTGAGGCGGCCTACGCCTGCGTTTCCGAGTTGGGAGAACTTGGATTGGTCCAGTTCCGAGATGTGAGTAAAATTGATTATATAAAACTGCGCCAAAAACATTAGCACTGAATAACTATACCCCAAACAACAACTCACTATTCCATGAGACGTTTCCTCTGAACGTAAAACATCATACGTATTCAGACCTATGACGTCCCCACTAAATATACAAAATTCCTAGTATATTTACGTGTTACGTTTGTTTTTTAGCTTTAAAAAATCTTACGAGATTAACATATCAAAACGAATATAATTAAAATTCCTGTGCTTTTATTTTACTAATAATAAGGATCTTTTTTGAAATCCCCAGCTTAATCCGGACGTGAACGCTTTCCAGAGGAAGTTCGTAAATGAGGTGCGGCGTTGCGATGAAATGGAGCGCAAGCTGCGTTACCTGGAGAAGGAGATCAAGAAGGACGGAATCCCCATGTTGGACACCGGGGAGAGTCCCGAGGCCCCGCAGCCCCGTGAGATGATCGACCTAGAGGTAAAGCTAAAAGTTACCTTTTTCTGCTAAAAAAGAAATAATTGCCCTTAATTTAAATACTTAAAAATTATAAATATGGAACTGAAATTGCATTTATTATTTCTTATCCGCTTTTAAATAACCTTTTAATTTATATGGCTTCCTTCTCTTTCCCTTAGGCCACCTTCGAGAAACTTGAAAACGAGTTGAGGGAGGTGAATCAGAACGCCGAGGCCCTGAAGCGCAACTTTCTGGAGCTAACCGAGCTGAAGCACATTCTCCGCAAAACTCAGGTCTTCTTCGACGAGGTAAGCAGCGGCATGTGCAAGAACTTTAATGGGTATCAGCTAACAAACCGCGATCGGTAACCGCTTTCCAAGTAACATATGGCGGCCAGAGAAGCGGCCGATAACTAACCAACTTTTCTAAGCAATAACCATTTTCCCAACCGACAACACAAGTGTGGCAGCCACGACTTCTAGTTACATTAGCAATCTCCCCCAGAACCACACACTAAAATGATTTCCCCGACCACTTTGCACGAATCTCTACCTTCTCCTAATCCGTTTCCGTTTCCAAAGGCAAACGATGTGTGCTTTACCCCTCAGTTTGAGTTTGTACAAATTTCGTAATTGTGCGTTTGATATCAGTTGATGGTTATTGTTTCTATCGGATGTGTTCCTGAGCAATCAAGAAGAAATATTATGGTATTTCTAAAACTTAGTAGACTCATAAGCTAAATATAAAATAAATTTATGAGCTTCATCAATTTTTAATTTGTAATTTAGTAAAGAGATGTCCATATCTAACCTACTGTGTATATTTGCACGGAAATATCCTTTATATGCTGAACTTATATTGATTATATAAATTAAAGGAAGATGTTTTGGATATCCCGTGTTATACTTCATGCTTGCTTTTCAAAAACACATCCGTTTATTTTCCTTTCAATTGCTTTCTTCGGTCTACACTCTGTTTATATACCCTAGATGTTCGTACAACCTTATTGTTTAGTATTAATTATTTGATATTTTCTTTTATTTTATTATGCGTTTTTACATTTTGTTTTTCCATATCAATCAATACACAATCAATCAATCAATCAACCAACCACTCCCCGACCAAAAATCAATAAACCGATAAAAAAAAAACACAAAACTGCACACACCACGAACACCCAACCAAAAACACCACCCAATGCCCCGCCCACTGCCGGTTGTGTTGCCAAAAGTCGGTGCCCACGGTGTACAAGTCGAGTGGCGCATACTCATCCAGCAAATATCGGCGCTATCCGCAGATGGCCGACAACCAGAACGAGGACGAGCAGGCGCAGCTGCTGGGCGAGGAGGGTGTCCGGGCCAGCCAGCCGGGCCAGAATTTGAAGCTTGGGTAAATATTGATGCGGACCTGGGACCACGGACCACAAACCACGACGAGAACAGGGGGAAACTAAACTCAGGCCAAGACCCACTCGCTGTCGCTCTCCTGCTCCTCTCACTCCCTGCTGTTTGTGTTCTCTACGCGTCCATGTCCCACATCCATGTACAGTTGATGAGTGTATTCCATGTGTTCCACGTGATAGGCTATCGAATTGATTTCAAACATAAAGCACATACTCTACTTGTTTGCTCTGGTGTCGGTCTCCAAACTATATCCAATCCAATCCAATCTAATCCCCCTCCCACATGCCACAAAGTTCGGAGGCGGTTCTACTAACCTTTCCCTAAGTGTTAACCCCAAGCTAACCCGAACGTAAGTTGAGTCGAAATGACCTTTGCCCACCATTCACAATTTCTAGCAAGAAGGCGGCGTGAACCAAACCACCGAGTCGATGACCCGCGCCTTGATCACGGACGAGGCGCGCACCGCTGGTGCCTCCATGGGTCCCGTACAGCTCGGGTACGTATCCAGCAGCCAGCGTCCAGAACTGGGCATGCGGACTCTTGGGGATAGGACATAGCTCCATCAGCAGGAAAGTGCTCCCTGGGCGAAGAAGTTTATTACGGAAAAATACGTCTTTTTCATCAATTTATAAGCCGTATAATAACTTTAGTTGGATCGTAAAATCTTTCAAAAACCAAACATACATTTCGATCTGTTTATATGTACCAGGGTTCGGAATTTAACACACATGTTAAAAACATGTAAAATTGTATTTTACAGTGTGAGCAAAGTTTTTGACATGTGTGTCATAAACAAAAGTGTAAGAATGTGAAAAATAATTGTTAACACAGACATCTAACTTGTGTTTTTTACACAATGTGTTATTAACACGAAGTGTTTTTTAAAGCATATATTTCTGAGGTTTTAATGTCAAAAACTCATTGTGTTAAACACACGTTGTGTAAAAAATACGTCGTGTTAATAACACGTCGTGTAAATAACACAAATAAACTGTGTGTGTTATTTAACATGTTAATATCACAAGTTTTTTACAGAGTGTGTTATTTTCCCAACCCTGACATGTAGTACATATTATGTACATTCTAAAATGTATAAGAATTAGTCTTCTCTTTCCGCCCAAGGAAACTTTTACCTGTACATAATCTTCTTTTAGCTTTTAACCAACGACATGCCACACAAAATTATTGCTTATTTGCCGCCAACGCCAAACTAACCAAAAGCAAAAGCAGCTGCGCCGACAAAGGGAAAGATTAACCGAAACATATCCATTCATTTCGACCACCTTGGAGTCTCTCGGAGTTTCGAGCAATAATTTTCTGTGCCAGATCCCACAAAATGACACATTGAAGACAACTAAATTAAACGTCGTTCTCTTCTTTGCTCCTCTCTTCCCCACACAAAAATATCCAACCGAAAAATTATATATTGAAAAAATGTAGTTACATGGAGAAATCGAACGAACGTGAGGATTATCTTCCATGGTTGGTACCCTGCCCCTTCAAAAACACAAGACTAGGCCAAACAATCAGTCAAACTCGAACCCATTAGCAAACGAACAGCGCTCATCAATCGTATTTGTAACCGTGTATCCGTACTCGAATCGATCGGTCAATCAGCTGTATATAGAGACATGTCATTAGCTTCGCTCGCCTCCCAGCACTGTCCCGCATCCCGCCCCGGAATTCAGGGTGCTAACGTCTCACCCATCCATTCGATCCCACCCAGTGTCTCTCATCCATCCCGATCCCTGCTATCGCCACGCGCGTCCATTGGTAACTTGTGCTTGAGAGTTTAGTTTTCCTTGTTTGTCGTAAATAACCGGAATGACTCTGTTGGAAAGACCGTAGCGGAGCTGTGTCACTAATCGCTGCTTCCCAATCCCCCCTAGCTTCGTGGCTGGCGTCATTCTCCGGGAGCGACTGCCGGCCTTCGAGCGGATGCTGTGGCGAGCCTGCAGGGGCAACGTCTTCCTGCGCCAGGCGATGATCGAGACGCCGCTGGAGGATCCCACCAACGTAAGTCAAAGCTCAAAAAATAATAATAATAATGTTTAAGTCCACAAATGATTCACTTGTTTATTTTATGGAATTATGAAAATGTCTTTCTTATTACTTACGAACTATTCTCTTATTTTCCAGGGCGACCAGGTGCACAAGTCCGTGTTCATCATCTTCTTCCAGGGCGACCAACTGAAGACGCGCGTCAAGAAGATCTGCGAGGGCTTCCGAGCCACGCTCTATCCTTGCCCGGAGGCTCCGGCCGACCGCCGCGAGATGGCCATGGGTGTAATGACCCGCATCGAGGATCTGAACACCGTGCTCGGCCAGACGCAGGACCATCGCCATCGCGTCCTCGTCGCAGCGGCCAAAAACCTTAAGAACTGGTTTGTCAAGGTGCGAAAAATCAAGGCCATCTACCATACGCTGAATCTCTTCAATCTGGACGTTACCCAGAAGTGTCTGATCGCGGAGTGTTGGGTGCCGCTTCTGGACATCGAAACCATCCAGCTGGCCTTGCGTCGCGGAACCGAGAGATCGGGATCCTCGGTGCCGCCGATTCTCAACCGAATGCAGACGTTCGAGAATCCGCCCACTTACAACCGAACGAACAAGTTCACCAAGGCCTTCCAGGCGCTCATCGATGCCTATGGAGTGGCCAGTTATCGGGAGATGAATCCGGCTCCTTACACGATCATCACCTTTCCCTTCCTGTTCGCCGTGATGTTTGGAGATCTGGGCCATGGAGCCATTATGGCGCTCTTTGGCCTCTGGATGATTCGAAAGGAGAAGGGACTGGCGGCTCAGAAGACGGACAACGAGATCTGGAACATCTTCTTCGGCGGACGGTACATCATCTTCCTCATGGGCGTCTTCTCCATGTATACCGGTCTGATATACAACGATATATTCTCCAAGTCGCTTAATATCTTTGGCTCCCACTGGCACCTCTCGTACAACAAGTCTACGGTGATGGAGAACAAGTACCTGCAGTTGAGTCCGAAGGGCGACTACGAGGGTGCCCCCTATCCATTTGGCATGGATCCCATTTGGCAGGTGGCGGGGGCCAACAAGATCATCTTCCACAATGCTTACAAGATGAAGATATCGATCATTTTCGGCGTCATTCACATGATCTTTGGCGTAGTGATGAGCTGGCACAACCACACGTATTTCCGCAACAGGATCTCGCTGCTTTACGAGTTCATTCCTCAGTTGATCTTCCTGCTGCTGCTCTTCTTCTACATGGTTTTGCTGATGTTCATCAAATGGATCAAGTTCGCGGCCACCAATGAGAGTGAGTTATTTTAAAGATTTTTCCGGGCTTAATAAGTAAACAATGTTTTTTATATTTAGAGCCCTATTCTGAAGCCTGCGCCCCCTCGATCCTGATCACCTTTATTGACATGGTGCTATTCAACAAGCCTAAACCACCCCCAGAACATTGTGAGACGTACATGTTCTTTGGCCAGCACTTCATCCAGGTGCTCTTCGTCTTGGTGGCCGTCGGCTGTATTCCCGTGATGCTGCTGGCCAAGCCGCTGCTCATTATGCAGGCCCGCAAGCAAGCGAACGTAAGTAGAGCTCCATTCGATGCACTCCTTCACCTCCCATAGAAAAGTCCTCCATCCACATCACAACATATCAACGCACATCGCACTCCCAGCTCTCCACATTATACTAACTGCTTCTCGTTTATTTGTGCTCCCGATTAACAAAATTATAATCCCCCAACCAAATCCACACCGAATAAACTAAAACACTCCAATCCACAATCCATAGGAAGAGGTTAGTCGTGTCGTTTGTGCTCGATGTTTAGTTGAACTTCTCTAATTCTCTAATTTAGAGAAGTTCGACTTTAGTTGTCTTGACTAATGCTCTTTGGTAGAGAATATAACCAAGATTTCTTACAGGTGCAGCCCATTGCTGGTGCCACTTCGGATGCGGAAACTGGCGGCGTGTCCAATGGTGGATCCCACGGAGGTGGCGGCGGCCATGAGGAGGAAGAGGAGCTGTCCGAGATCTTCATTCACCAGAGCATCCACACCATTGAGTATGTGCTGGGTTCGGTTTCACATACTGCTTCGTATCTCCGATTGTGGGCGCTCTCCTTGGCGCATGCACGTAAGTCATTAAATTAACTATAATTCCAAGAGGGGACTTATAAAAACTATTATAATCTTGCAGAGTTGGCTGAGGTGCTGTGGACCATGGTCCTCTCGATTGGTCTTAAGCAGGAGGGCCCCGTGGGCGGCATCGTGTTGACCTGCGTGTTTGCCTTCTGGGCCATTCTTACGGTCGGCATTCTGGTGCTCATGGAGGGTCTGTCCGCCTTCCTGCACACTCTGCGTCTTCACTGGTAAGTAGCTTTATTCATACATGACCCAAAATCCATTCTGACAAACTGTTGTTCTCCATCCCATAGGGTTGAGTTCCAGAGCAAGTTCTACAAGGGTCAGGGATACGCCTTCCAACCCTTCTCGTTCGATGCCATAATAGAAAATGGGTCAGCCGCCGCCGAGGAGTAAGTGCAGCGGAGTCGGATGGAGCAGCAACCAAAGCACGTTGAGAGTCTCATTGCGTTATATGAAATTAACTATCCAAATAAGTGGAATTTACCAGTTACAGTAACAACAAAATATGTACGCTTTATTGTTCGATTGTCGTAAATTTATCTATCTCATATAGCCCCATATAATATTTAATGTTCTTAGACGTTCTCGTGTTTATTAACTATACTTGTAAACTCAAATAAATAGCAAAAGCTAACCCCACAGGGGGTTGGCTATAAAAAAAGGTTTGTTTGTTTGGAATGTTTATGGGATTTTAATGCGACATAAGTTCATTGATGGCGGAAACAAACTTTTTAAGATTTTCTGGTTGGGTCTCGTAGGGTTTCAGGGCCTCAAAGTCCAGAGAGGTCAGCTGGGCATCCAAATCTGTAACTCTGCAATAGTACAGATAGTTTTCAGAGGCCAATTGCTTGGCCAGTTCCAGTTGGTGATTGTCCATGAGGGTGTCATTAATCACAATGAGTCCATGCTTTCGGTTATTCAAAATATCCATGCAAGTTCCCGCTCCCGCATGTCCAATGATGAGGTCTGCGGACTTTATATCCTCTATATTTGGCCGGAATTTGTACTGCTCTACCAGGATTCCGTAGTTTTTGCTTATCAGTAGTTTTTCCTCCTCCGTTAACGGTTGCGAGTTGCCGTGTTGAATGACGAGTTTAGTGCATTTCCGGTTGTGCAGAGCTTTTAGAGCGGGCTCGGAAGTAACAGCCGATATAAGGGCATCGAATTTGGTAGTGCCCACGGTAATATAGACGCTGTTTAAATGCATTTTAAGTGAGTAATTTATTAACAAGTCTCAGCTGATTCCTGCTTCTTCTTCGGTTTTGCCATTCACTCTGTTTAACCCTAACGCCTTTCGTTTAATTGACAGCTTGCAAGCTCAAAACGCCGGCAATAACCGTTACTTTTTTGCAACTAGTGAAGAGTTTAAAGTTCTAGGTGTTAAGTAAATAAAAATCACATAAAAACAGATGACAGTAATATTTATTTAAGCAAAATGCTTAAATTTAATTTTAAATGTAAGTACTCACTCTTTTCGCAAACAATTTCTCTCGCCCACGCGAGAGAGTGCGAATTTTGCTGAGCACGATCGCCATCTCGTTCATTATGCTTTCAGTTCCATCGCAGCTTGTTTATTCCGTTTATTCTCTTCTCAACCGTTAGGCGTAACGGTTGTGTGCGCGCTCGGTGGAAAAATAAATAAAAACTGTGCTCCGTCTAGTGATAGTCCCTTGGCAAATTGCATTTTGATTTGTTTGGCAGCTCGGCCTTAGTTCAAGTGATTTGTTTACATTTAATTTAATTAATTAGGCGTCTGCAAAGACCCAACTGTGTGTGTGGGTGACCACAATTTGCATTGGTGCCGCGCCAGCATAACGGTAAAGGTGTGAAAGAGTCCGACAAGCGGTTCCAGGACGGAGGTGAAACGGTAAATTAAATTATTCCCACGTTTTGGGTAGTACGTTTGTGTGGGTGCTTGGTGCGTGTGTGTGCACTGTTAAAAATTGTTATGATAAAACAGATGATTTTAAATCAGCGGTCGGCACACACATACGATGACATTTTGTTTTATATTTGTGTGAGTAATTTGCACGGGGCAGCTCATTGATGTGTGTGTACAGACTGCTGTTTTACAGTGTCCGTGAGGGGCAGCGTGTGAGCAGAGCAATTCCCTATGCTCACTTAATAGGACGCTGCCGACCGCTGTTTTAAATTTTTAACCAATCCTAAAACAATGTTTTTTATTTTTTTAATTAAAAAATAAACAAGTTATTGGACCCATTAATTATCTAAATATTACAAAGATATTTCGTCATATTTTTCTTTCTCTGTGGGTGCCGGCTGCTGTTTGCACGTCGGAAGGTAATTGACTAATCAACACTTCATTTAATTTCGTTTTTATTTCTGCCTCCTCTTGATTTGTTTATTTTGCAAACGGTTTTCAAGTTTGCCTCGCATCTGGCAACGATTAATATAAAAGAACAAACACTTTTCCAGCCCGAAATGCTAGATATTATAAGAAGATCACGCAGGACCCATAAATTTGCCGGTCCGAAACTTTCCTTCCCTTATGATCGCCAATTTATGGTGATCTCTCGCTTATTTACTATCCAAATTTGTAGAAATCATCAGGTACTGCCCCAAAATTCAATTAGAGCAACCATGCAAATTATCTGGAGACCCAGAGATCGGTTATTTTATATGTTTTTTTTTTAACCCCCACCCCCCGAAAAGAATACACACCCACACTTACACACGCGTGGGCCATCACTCAACGGTCAATAAATTGCCGCTCTCTTGTTTTTGTTTTTTTTTTTTGATGGGAGAGCAAAAAGCAGAGCGATTAAATTTTAATGTCTTAATCGTGGGTGTGTGAAGAGCCAATATTTACATGTCTTCTCCTCCTCTTTATTCTCTCATGGTTTCCTCCCCCTCCGCTTTACACAATGATTTGTCAATATTCACTTTCCCTCCATCGGACATTCATGTCCTTGTGTTTATTAATTGGCTACACTTAAAGGAACATTTGAACATTAATCTAAAAAGTTGGTCAACATACTGTAGGTTTTATTTTAAATGACTTGAAACACCATCTAAAAACCATTTTTTTTTAAATACAAAAAATGAATTTAAATTATTGGATCGTTTTAAATTTGAGATTTTTAGTGTACAAACTTTATCCATCGCCATATGCTGACACATCGCCAGCGGCTTACACGCAGTTTATCAATGAAATATGGCAATAAATTGGATCCCCGACGAGCGAGCCAGGGTCCCCGGGGGGCGGAGTGGGTGGAGTGGGCGGATGGTGGCATCGTATCATTTGCAGCCTTATTTTAATGAAGGTCATCGTGCCAGCGTCGGGGTTGACTTCTGTACATAGTTGACGGCGTTTAATTGCAGCAATTTGCAAAAACAGCAGCAGCCGAAGGAGAAAGAGCAGGGAGCCCCAACTGGAGGCTACAGCCGAAGCAGAAGCTGATCAAATTAATGCCATAACTCAATTAGCCGGCGGACGTATTTGCATGAATATATAAGTTGATTTACGACGACGATGTTGCCCGCTCAATTTGTGCTTAAACTTTTGCCAATTGATAATAGCGCTGCTCTATGGAGACTTCTCAGTAGAGCTACAATCGTTCAGACTCTGCTAAAAGAAATTAGCTTAGCCTCTAGTATAAAGTAGCCCGAAGAACGGGTCCCCGGGGCCAGTGACATTTTGATAAGAACTTCTTCAATGAAACAGTTGCGATCAACATAATAGAAGCTCGTACCTTTTGAGCTTAACAGTTCTATGAGTTCAGAAAGAACAGCTGAAAGTATTGTTGTATAATACAAATTGTATTTCGAAACTGTAAGATTAATATTAAACTCAAAATTATCCTTCACTTTCTTTCACGAACTTAATTTAAACAAACAAACAAGTATTTTCAAAAACTTCGAAAGCCATTATATTTGTGACCGTAGCTGTGTGTTTAATTACTTTTATAGTATAAAACCTCGCCTTATTTTGATTCGGTGATTAGGAATACCCGACGCACTCTTGGCCAACCAGATACTAACTCCAACCACCACTCCTGAATGGGAAATATCACGAAATTACATATATTATTTTCGATGACGTCGACAGTGGGAAACCCCTTCTCACCAGAATGCATGTAGATCTCTAGCGCAGATCCATAAAAAAACCTGCCAGGTGACTTAAGTGTGCTTAACAAAAGCTAGAATTCAAGGCGACGCGTAAACCAGCCATTAATATTTTCCATTATACGTGCATATAAAAAAATAAAATAAATTACAAAAATGTAAAACAAAGATCAATAAATTTAAAAATAATTTGTCCTAAAATATCGTTTCTTAATTATCCAAATAAATTAAATCAAACTTTAATAACAATACCTCATTTACAATGTTAAATTCAGTCGTTTTAAAGTTCGCAGAGTGTAAAAACGTCTTTATTATATCATATTTGTATACGTAGATATCGTGTTGGATAATAACTCATTTTGGTCATTGAGTGACAAAAACAATGATTTTTTGCTTCTCGCTGTAAACCATACATTACTTTCCCCTACCGATGATGAGGTAATGAGTAAGTTACGATCTTGACGACCCCTGTCGAACAGCCGCCAACTAAGCGATTTCCTACTCGAAAACTCTTTTCGCAAACCCCTTCCTGTGGCTTCCCTTGTCAACCACAAGGACACGGCTCATGGGCCATTTACGCAATTTAATCGGAACACAAGATAGCCAAAAGGGGTTGGCCTCAGGGCCAGAGAAACCACTTAAGTGGAACCCCGAGATTGCAAAATGGGCAACCTGCAGTTGGATATCATGTTACTTGTGCAAGTTTATATTAAATGCTAAAGCGGAAGTGGATGTGGAAGTGGTGTGCTTCTTCCTGTTCAAGGATTTGGAATTGATTTTGAGGGAAGAATACGATTACCCTATTAGGCTACGATTTTATTTTCATTTTACATAGAGGGTTTCTGGAGTTTTAAACTAAAATTAAATTTTTCAAATCATTGCAGCCATCATGGTCGTCAAGGAGATTCCGCTCCATGAGAATCTAAGCATGGAGAACCGTTCCGCAAATGCCGCTACACCCACCACTACCACCACTTTCTCGCGAGTGGGTCGTCGATATAGTCTGTCCCTGACCACAGCCATCCTGCTGGCCTCCTTTTTCATCTGCACCCTACTGGCGGTGGGTTTCATAGTCTACAACTTTGCCACGTGTGCCGAACTGGAGCCGTCACCCGACGACGATATCGTCTGCACCAGTGTCCATCTCAGAAAGTTAAAGGCCGGACAAGATGGACCACCTAAATATGACCGGGATGTCCGTCTGCCACGCTCCATCCGCCCGCTGAAATACAACATCACGCTGGAACCGCAGCTCAGTGGCAACTTCTCCTTTGCCGGAAGTGTTCAGATCAGGATAAAGGTGCTGGAGGATTGCTACAACATCACCATGCACGCCGAGGAGCTGAACATCTCTCGTAGCGATGCCGCCGTCCGTCGGGTGCTGCCTGGTGGAGAGGTGGATGCAGACAGTCTGCGGATCCACAAACAGTATCTGGTGGGAGCCAAGCAGTTCTTTGTGATCGAGCTGTACGACAAACTTCTAAAGGACGTGGAGTACGTGGTGCATCTACGATTTGATGGGATTATCGAGGACTATCTGCAGGGATTCTATCGCAGCTCCTACGAGGTGCAAAATGAGACCCGGTGGGTAGCTTCCACCCAGTTCCAAGCCACAGATGCTCGTCGTGCCTTCCCCTGCTTCGATGAGCCCGCCCTGAAGGCCAATTTTACCCTGCACATCGCGCGTCCTCGGAACATGACCACCGTCTCCAATATGCCCATTGTGTCTACCAACGATCAGTGAGTAGTGCTTTTCATATCCCTATAACTCTATTTAAACGTACTCTTTGAACCCTTTAGCGCCACCATTCCCAGCTATGTGTGGGATCACTTTGCTGAATCGCTGCCCATGTCATCTTACCTGGTGGCCTATGCCATATCCGATTTTACCCACATCTCCTCTGGAAATTTCTCCGTGTGGGCTAGAGCAGATGCCATCAAGTCGGCAGAGTATGCATTGTCTGTGGGACCCAGAATACTGACGTTCCTGCAGGATTTCTTCAATGTGACATTCCCCTTGCCGAAGATCGATATGATTGCTCTGCCGGAGTTCCAAGCGGGCGCCATGGAGAACTGGGGTCTCATTACCTTCAGGGAGACGGCGATGCTGTATGATCCAGGAGTGGCCACGGCCAATAACAAGCAGCGTGTGGCCTCGGTTGTGGGTCATGAGCTAGCACACCAGTGGTTCGGTAATTATAATATCTTATTTTATTTATTTATTTCATTTATTTATTTATTTTATTTATTTATTGCAGGCAATTTAGTTACTCCGAGTTGGTGGTCCGATATCTGGCTGAACGAGGGATTCGCTAGCTATATGGAGTACCTGACGGCGGATGCAGTTGCGCCCGAGTGGAAGCAGTTGGATCAGTTTGTGGTCAATGAGCTGCAAGCCGTGTTCCAGCTGGATGCCCTCTCCACGTCTCACAAGATCTCCCACGAAGTATTCAATCCGCAGGAGATCTCCGAGATATTTGATCGGATTTCCTACGCCAAGGGATCAACTATTATTCGCATGATGGCTCATTTCCTAACTAATCCAGTTTTTCGACGGGGTCTTAGCAAATATCTGCAGGAGATGTAAGTTATGGAGATTCCCTAGAATTTACCTATTTCAAGTGAATTACTTTCAGGGCCTATAACTCAGCAACGCAGGACGATCTGTGGCGTTTCCTTACTAATGAGGCCAAGTCCTCTGGCTTGCTGGATCACAGCAGAAGTGTCAAGGAAATTATGGACACGTGGACCCTGCAAACGGGCTATCCGGTGGTCAAGGTTTCGAAGCATCCCAACTCGAATGTGATACGCCTGGAGCAGGTTCGCTTTGTGTACACAAACACGACCAGGGAGGATGAGAGTCTGCTCTGGTGGATACCCATTACTTTTACCACTGCCGCGGAGTTGAACTTTGTCAACACACGACCCACCACATGGATGCCCCGCACTAAGCTGTACGAGCTGGAGAACAGGGATCTCTCTACGGCCAAGTGGTTCATCTTCAATGTCCAGCAAACCGGTTACTATCGGGTGAACTATGATCTAGACAACTGGAGGGCAATCACAGGACACCTGATGGATGTGGAGCACTTTGAGGATATTGCCCCAGCGAATCGTGCTCAGTTGATCGATGATGTGTTGAATTTGGCCAGGGGCTCCTATCTGTCCTACGAAACTGCAATGAATTTGACCCGCTACCTCGGTCATGAATTGGGCCATGTTCCATGGAAGGCTGCCATCAGTAACTTTATTTTTATCGACTCCATGTTCGTGAACTCCGGCGATTACGATCTGCTTAAGGTTTGATTACAGGAAACCTTTAAATTTCTTGAATATTGATTGTAATTGTTTATCACAGAACTATCTGCTGAAGCAGCTAAAGAAGGTCTACGATCAGGTGGGATTCGAGGACTCGCAGGGTGATTCGGAGGATATCCTGGTTAAGCTGAAGCGCGCCGATATTCTGGGCATGGCCTGTCATTTGGGTCACCAGGAGTGCATCTCTGAGGCCAGCAGGCATTTCCAGAACTGGGTGCAGACACCGAATCCTGATTCAAACAATCCGTAAATAGTATTTATGATTTTGAAAACGAATTATTAATAAACGTTTCTTTCTATTACAGCATTGTCCCCAATCTCAGGGGAGTCGTTTACTGTTCGGCGATACAATATGGCACTGAGTACGAATGGGACTTTGCCTTCGAGCGCTTCTTGAAGACCAATGTGCCTGGAGAGAAAGATCTGCTGTTGAGTGCCCTCGGCTGCTCGAAGGAACCCTGGTTGCTCTATCGCTTCCTGCGACGCGGTGTTGCCGGACAACATATACGGAAACAGGATCTGTTCCGGGTATTTGCCGCAGTTTCCAGTACTGTGGTCGGTCAACAGATAGCGTTTGATTTTCTGCGCACCAACTGGCACGAGATCAAGACCTAGTAAGCAGAAGGGCAATCCCTTTTATTCCAGGTAGCTTTAATAAGTTTTTTGTACTTCCAGCATGGGCTCACAGATGTCCAACATCCACACGCTGTTTAAGTTCGCCACGAAACGATTCAATTCCAAGTTTCAGCTGGGCGAATTCGAGAACTTTGTGAAGGATGCCCACTGGGACTACGACAGGCCCATCCAACAGATCGTGGAGCAGATCGAGACCAGCGTGGACTGGATGAACAAGAACTACAAGTCAATCGTCAAGTGGCTGCAGAACGAGGCGCGGCCGTAAGAGAAGCATCCTGCGGCTTGGCTGGATCAAGGCTGCAGCAGTATTAGATTCCGCAGCTGCAACTGCATAGGTTGGGCCACCAATGCATTTATGTCTAGTATTTATGTCGCGTGTTTTACCAATTCAGTGTCGCCAAAGAGATCGTCCAGAGCATCACGTTTTTCATTACTTTTAATGTATGCCTTCGTTTCATAACAATTATGAGAGTCTTGTAATTTTAATTTGTACTTAAATGTAAATGTAAATGGAATTATAACATTGTTCGTCAGTACATAAGTCTATTCCTGTTTCACGGCCTGAGTTCGTTTGGGAACTCTTATCACATCAGCAAACATTAGGGTGCCTACAAAGACTAGCACGGTGCCCAGCCAGTGGTGCACGGTGAAGGGATTCCGGAAGTAAATGATGGAAAAGACCAGCGAAATGAACTTGCGGAGTGTTAGGATCAGAGTTACCGTCAGCGAGCTGCACTCCGTGGTCAGGGTGTAAACAGAGCTGATGCACAGATGCTGGGCAAGCACGTTGCCTAAGAGGTAAACCAGGATTAAAGGCACCGCCACGCCCAGGAGGGGCAAGTGGTAGGACTCCCCTGCGAGGGCCAGGAGCCAGTGCGTCCGGATGTTATCCTGCATCAGCAGAAAGGCGGGCAGAGGCAACAGGTGCGTGTAGTACAGAGCTTCCCTCGCACACTTTCCATGACGGCGATACAGCAATTCCTGGGTGACGCCCATGTAGGAGGAGACAAAAAGAGCCAGCACCAGGAGGAGCACTCCCACCAGCCACCAGAACATATCAGTGCTTCCATCGAGATTCTCCTCCTTCCTACCAACCAAATCCGGACTGGAAAAGTAGGTGCAAATGAAAATGCCCACGCTGATCATCACCACCGATATGTACTGACTCAGCCGGTAGCTCCTCTTCAGGATCAACGTGCCCAGGCACATGTTCGAGATGAGGGAGCCGCCTCGGATGATCATGTGGAGCGTCATGGGCACATTGAACTCGAACACATAGTTGTTGCACACACTGGTCAGGAAGAACATGGCCACCAGGAGCGCATAGTCCGTCAGGCTGATCACCCGCTGGGCCAATCCGAACCTCGAGGTGAAGATGAAGCCCTCCAGGGCAATAAAGGCAAACTGGGCGGCTGTTATCAGGTTTCCAGCGCCGGGGTCCAGTTTAACCAGGAGCTCCAGGAAGACAACGCCACTGCAGCAGCCCAGAAAGACGCCGCCAATGGCCAAAACAGCGCGGGTGGATAAATTCATGAACTTGGATACTTGGACAATTCGAGGTGACGATCCCCTGCCACTTTAACCTGTGATCTGGGCCATGGAGAGCTTTCAAGCCAACCTTCTTTTTGGCCATGCAAAACGTAAACAAAGCCAACAGGTGGTTATCGGTAAGAGTCATCGCTGGCACAGCTGATCGCCGCCTATCGAAAGAGCCCGGAATTCAAATTTTAGATTTAGATCAATTTATTCAAAAACCAAACTTATGGACAAATACTTTGCCTAATCACATTCGAAATATTCGCACCGACAGTCTGTTAGAACAATTACAAAATACAATGATGAATGATACAAAAAAAATTACAAATGAGCGAGTTTAAAGATATTATTTTTGCTTTTCCAGCAGGGCGATAATTTTGTCTAGCTTTTCCGTTTGCTGGGCTTCAAAGTTGTCCAGTCGTTTGGCCACTAATTGCGTCAGCTTTTCAAATCTCATGTCTATGTGTTCCTTGAGGACTGCGACATCGGTGGGAGGAACAGCCTCCTGGGCTTTCACCTCCGCTTTCGGCGAACAGCCCTTCATCAGGGACATGAACTGTTGGAACTTCTCGGCCTGCTCCTCCTTGCTCGACGGACTCGAGCCGCCCCTTTGCAGCAGTTCCTGGATTCTTTGCGGATCCATTGGCCTGGGCAACTGGGTGGTTATGCCATTCGGATTCGGTGCCACCTGAAGCAGTGCTCCATAGACGCATATCTCGCTGGCCGAGGTGAGCATCTTGAGATTTATGTCATTGATGCCGGACCGGTCGATCTCCATGTCGTAGCGATAGGGTCGCACCGGCACCTCGGGATCCTCCTCCTCGACGCAGATTCCGTATATCGTTTCGCAATACTCCTGCAGGGGTCCAATGAACAGCTCCACTTTGGGGGCGCTGCAAATGAGGGTGAGCGCTGCGATTTTGAAGCGGGTCTGGATTTGGAACCTCAGCTCGCAAGGTGGCGGCGGATCCGGATCGGCAGACTGCATGGAGAACAGCACGGCGCGATCCTCGTTTATTACATCGTCCAAGTCGGGCCTGCGGACAAAGGAGATGGCGAAATCACCAGATGAAAACCAGTTTTAGGCGTGGAATCCTTTGTCTCACTTCACAAAGACGTCTTCGTCGGACAAACGGGTGGCCACCAGTTGGTCCAAGCCGTTGCCCGCCAATTGGGGCCAACTACAGCTGGCGGTGACCTTTTCGCACATGGTTTTATTCACCAAAAATTCAAATTTTTGAAGGGATTTAAAAAATATATATTTTTGAGCAAAAATCAAAACAAATATCTAGTGATGGGAAAAGCGAGCGATAAAAAGTGCGGGGGATGCTAACCTGTTGCATGTAGTGGGAGGGGATGCTAACTTATTGGATATTTTAAAGTTAATATTTAAAAAGTTTGTATAAAACCATGTGGAAAAAGAAAGACATTCCAAAAAGTTACAGCAGCATACAAAAGAAAATATTTAGAGGATTAACTACTAATACACTTTATTAATTGGCCAAAACAGAAAACCGCCAAACGTTTGAAACGGAGTTCTAATAAGACCAGACGCCGGGTCTAATAAGACCAGCCACTGTGTCTGCGTTTTGTTTTCCACCCGGAATGGCAATATCGTGGATGACAGCTGCGACCTTGGCGACTCCTTGTAGGTCAAATTTCAGCAGAAATTCTCACATATTCTAAGCGGCGGTCGCTCCAAGTACACTATTCTCCGTAAATTAATTAATTCCACTAACATGGGCGGCAAGTACAAGATTGTGATGGTGCGCCACGGCGAGTCCGAGTGGAACCAGAAGAATCAGTTCTGCGGCTGGTACGACGCCAATCTCTCGGAGAAAGGTAAGCGATTACATCAATTACAGTCGACCTTCCGTAATGTATACTATCTTCAGTCAAAAGTATAGTGTATCTTTCTAGTTGTAGCACATAAGTATTTTTCGGTTTACCGAAAATGTTCTTATCATTTTAATCAACCTTTATTTGAACTTCCTTTAAATAAATTAAAGTTGTTTGACCTAAGACAACATTTTATAATTAACTCTTAAAAAAATCATTTCGGGGATGTAAATTAAAACTAAAAAAAAATGTATAAGTATATTTTTTAATTGTAAGAAAAATAAAAAAAAATTTTAAAATACAATGTTTTGGTCGTTTACAATTTTCTTATCTCTATTTGAGCTAAAATACAAATTATGTTTAATAGCAAGTCACAAAAAAAATTTGAAAGGTTATCGAACAGAAGAAAAAGCTTTTAAAAAATTACGGAAGTTGAACTGTAGTTACCCAACAAGGCGTATACTTAATGTTTTATTTATTTTTTTCCACCAGGTCAGGAGGAGGCTCTAGCCGCCGGCAAGGCCGTCAAAGAGGCCGGTCTGGAGTTCGATGTGGCCCACACCTCGGTGCTGACCCGCGCCCAGGTGACTCTGGCCAGCATCCTGAAGGCCAGTGGCCACAAGGAGATCCCCATCGAGAAGACCTGGCGCCTGAACGAGCGTCACTACGGTGGCCTGACCGGTCTGAACAAGGCCGAGACCGCCGCCAAGTACGGAGAGGCCCAGGTGCAGATCTGGCGTCGCAGCTTCGACACCCCACCACCACCGATGGAGCCCGGTCATCCCTACTACGACAACATCGTCAAGGATGCCCGCTACGCCGACGGACCCAAGCCCGAGGAGTTCCCCCAGTTCGAGTCCCTGAAGCTGACCATTGAGCGCACTCTGCCCTACTGGAACGATGTCATCATTCCCCAGATGAAGGCGGGCAAGCGCATCCTGATCGCCGCCCACGGCAACAGTCTTCGCGGCATCGTCAAGCATTTAGATAGTGAGTATGCGAAATAAATGATATAATTCAGGGAAAAACGAGAATTTTGAAACCAATACCTTTTTATCCCGAAATGTAGTATAGATATGTTAGCCAACCAATGATATATTTAGCATTATAAATGCAAATGTATATGCATACGTATTTTTAAATTACCTTTTTTATATAGAATTGGAATTTTGGGATTTTTTCTTCAATTTATTCTTTTTCCAAAATTATTCCAGATCTCTCTGAGGACGCCATCATGGCCCTGAACCTGCCCACGGGCATTCCGTTCGTCTACGAGCTGGACGAGAACTTCAAGCCGGTGGTGTCCATGCAGTTCCTCGGCGACGAGGAGACCGTGAAGAAGGCCATCGAGGCTGTGGCTGCCCAGGGCAAGGCCAAGTAAGCGCCAATGAGAATCCACACAAATCCGGCACAAGTCAGAGCATTCTGATTACGCTTCTGTTCAAGATATAGCCAATCCCATTCGTTGTTGTTGTTCGCGTAGCAGTAATTGGTTCATCCCCACTACAGTTAATAAATAATTTATTATTACACACAGAGGACAGACATCCTTTATTATCCTGTTCACTTCTTCTTGTTCTTCTTCCCGTCCTTGGCCAGTTCGAGGCCCAGGATGCACTTGGGCGGCACCTTGTAGGTTTCCGTGAGCAGCGTGTGCACAAATCGCACCTGGTTGCCCTGGATCTGCAGCTGCTCGTGCTTCTGGTGGGGCAGCTTCACTACACTGGTGCTGGCGGCGGCTCCCTGTTTGCACAGCTTGATGAACTCGGCCAGGATGATGCCGTACGCCTCGATGTTGCTCACCAGCGTCACCTTCTTGTTGCCCGATCGCGTGGCCAGCGACATCTGGATCAGTGGCTTGCCACTCGTGTCCTTGCCGCTGCACATCTGGTAGGAGTGCTCCATCTTGCTGGTGATCAGGGAACACATCTCGCTCAGCGAGGCCTCCCTGTTGCCGTACAGCTCGATCAGAGTCTCGTCCGGGCGAACCAGCTTGGTCAGCGGATGCAGCAGCCCGTGCTTGCTCACGTACTCCCGCACAATCTTCTTGATCTGTCCCGCCGGGATTCCCTCGCCGCGCTTAAAGTTCAGCTTGGTGAAAAAGGCCGCCGTCACGTCGGACACTATGTACATCTCCTTCAGCTCGGAGTGGAACAGAGGCGTCTCGGACGCAGCTCCATTCGCCTCGTTCGCCTTGACATCGGTTATGAAGTTCACCACTTCGGGGTGCTCCAGATCCACGGATATTATCTTGTCCACTCCCTTGCTCTCCTCCCGTACTACAATGAATCCCTGGTCCACCATCTCGGCCAGGAAGTTGGAGAGCTTCTTGTAGCGCGTCTTCTTCAGGTCGATTTGCTCCGGGGCCTCGGTGACCACATAGAGTCTGTAGAAGTTACTGGTCAGAAGCGGCAGAGGCAGCTTTTTTCCATTGTTCTTCAGGGCAGATAGGAAGGCATTCTTGAGGATCAGTTCGGGAGAGGCTTCCGCCTCGACGTCATCTTCGGATTCGGGGGTTTCCTGGTCTTCCAAGGTGAGAGCAGCCGTTCCTGTTTCCACTTCCTCTGCCTGAGTTACTGAAGCAAAGGATATGGGCGCTGGATTCGCAGGCTTTTTCCGTTCCGTCTCCGAGCCAAGAGCAGGAAAGTCCTCTCCAGACAAGGCTTTTGTCTTTACCAGCGGGATTTGCTGCACTAGACTGGGCTCATGCGACCAGAGCTTGTCGCCAAAGAGGTGAAGCATCTTGATGGCCACGCCGTGGCCTCCGCACATGTACAATTCGTCGCTGGAACGAGCCAACTGGCCCAAACCCACCGCGGATTTGTTGTTTGTGAGGTTGACAGCCACTGAAATGGATAATTCAGTTGTATTGAGAACCTAGTGAAACCAAATTAGATACCCACTCAACTGTCCCTTCTTGTAGTGCCCGTACATGCTCAATCCCACGCCCAGGGGCACCACTCCGGGCAGCATGAGATCCGCTCCGTTCGTCAGCTTCGGCAGCACGCCCTCGTGGGTGGTGAAATAGGGCAGGATGTCCGGAATGGACCACAGGGTGTACATCGTGGGCACGAGCTGGCCACCGTCCAGCTCGAAGAACACGGGCAGCTTGTCCACGCAGTAGACCATGCTCTGTACGCCGCCGTGGGTGAGGATCTTCACCTGGGTCACCGCCGCCTTCGCCGGCACCAGCTGATCCACAGAAACATGGGGAAACGCCGCCTCCACGCGCTGCCGGAACTTCTTGCTATCGGATCCCTTGAGGGCAGCACTGCTCTTGGGTCGGTACGGCTTGAGAAACATCTGTCCGTCGGTTCGGTTCGGTCCTGTGGTGTGCGTTTAAGGAATTGGCCAAATGGATTGGAGTGGCACATGCAGTGAAAACAAACAACTGGGCAGAGGTGCTGCCAATCTAGCTATATTTAAGCCAGTTTTGGCTAGGTGAAAATATTAGTGGGATTCCATTAGAAATTTAAAAAAGGGGTTTAGTTACGGTCCCTGGGTTTAGAATATTCCATATATTAATTTAAGTTATGTTAATATTAGAATTTTTCTATTGAGAATGATTAAGAAGAAGGGTATTTCCAAAATCAGCTAATTTTGGATCAATCAAACCTATTATAAACTTCAGAGATCTTTCGAGTTTGCAATGTCCTTAAACAATTGCTTTTCTAACCTACATATGTATACAAAAAGTTTCAAACGAAATCGAACCCATTCCGGCAGGACCTCTACGCTTCGTCATTCAAAATTAGTTATAATCTGCAGAAAGAGTTCCAATGAAATGAAATTTTTAAACAAATCTTTGACATCCCAAATCGAAATTCCGCGCAACACGCGCATTATATTCCGGCGCTAGGAAGATTGGCCGAAATCCCCAGGATCTTTTCAGGTAGCGAAAGGTAGAAAACCCAAGACTTTGTAAGACGCCATTTTATTCAACAAAACATCTGTGGTAACAATTTTCCGCACACGGCCTTGTAACTTGAAAGATGCGTGTTTGATTCATAGTTTTAGTTAGCTTGAATTTGTACTTAGACTGATAATAAGTAGGTAGACCCCCAATTTATATAATTGAAAAACGTAGCCCGGCCCGATAAACAAGATTCTAGTCCGAGTCCGAGTCGGAATTGCTGTCGTTGTTGGCATTTTGCTGGGTGGGCGGATCGTAGAAGTGCAGGCTCTTGCGCCAGATCTTCACGAGACCATCGAAGGCACGGCGGCTGTACTTTCCGTACTTATTCGGGGTGCGCGGATGCTCGCGGGCCCGCTCAGCCCTGGGCACCATTTCCACGTACCGCTCGTAGGCAGCCGTGTTCTTGCCGTAGTCGATTTGCTTCTGACGACGGGCCAGGACGGCGGGATCGGCTTCGGTGTAGGAGGAGGAGGACGAGGTGGAGGATGTGTAGCTGTTGTGGCGCACCCGCTTCTCCTCCTTGTGGCCACGGAAGCTGCTGGATTTGTGCTGGTTCCAGGGGCGCGGGTTATTGCCCCCCTTGGTGGCAGCTGCATCCCCGTTGGCCGAGGAATTGCTGCTGTTGGGACTGTTGGAGCGGCTGTTCTCGTTGCTGGGCGGCGTTTGCGAGTGGCGACGTTTGTAGGGCGTCTTCAGCTTCTCCTCCTTGACCAGGCGCTCGAACTTGACCTCGTTGACGCCGTCCAGAAACTCGAAGGCCATCTCCCGACCCTCGCCCTCGATGGGCTCCAGTTTGACCTCGGCGGGCTCCTTTTTGATCAGGGAAGCGCAGCTGGCGGCGCTGCTATTCAGGGAACTGGAGGCCTGCAGGCAAAGGTAGCTGATGTGAAAGGGTTCTCGGTAGTAGCAGCCATCCTCCACTTACCTCGTCGCTCTGGCCAAACTCCGCACGAACCTCCTGCGCCCAGCTCTGCATCGAGGGCTTCACGTCGATCGATATGGAGGATGCCGAGGAATTCAGGCTGCCGGAGCCCTTCTGCGGCGTGTTGTCCACGGACATATGTTGATCCTCGAAGAGCATGTTGGCGGTGTTGTGTTCCGAGTGTTTACTTTGCTGTGCGGAGGATGTTTGCGAGGATGTTATCACCGCGATGTTTTGCGTTTTCTGCCCGAACCTTCGCGCGTTTTTTGTTGTGATGCGATGCGCAGTGTGCCCAGGTGAGTGGTTGCTAAAAGGGCAGCACACCGGCATGCTTAGCCAGTTGTGATTTGGTCACTCAAAAAGTTTTTAAAATTATTTGTATAAATTAATTATGGTAAATAATAGAGCTACAAGATATGGATTGATTAATTAAACCAAGGATGCTAGCAAAGTAATGAAATTAAATCAAATTCATCAAAATATTTAGGGTATTCCCCAAACTGTTGAATGATTGAACAAGCAACACTAGTTGAAAAATACAATTTTATTCAAATTTCAAATTACTTTCGTAGTGTTTGAACTGATAATATTTCGTATAATTAAATTTTTAAGAGACATATGACAAACAGCTGACCCAAATTCAAAAATTCGTCAATAAAAAGTTTAGGGAATCCCCCACCTAACTTAATTTTAATCTAGCTATTTTTAGCTATTTGGAACTATTTTCCAACATTATTGCCAAGGTATTTTAATACATCCCCAGCAAGGTCACATTGTGATTCGAGTGATTTAGCATTTTTCGGCACAAAAGAAAATTGAAAATTAAAACGGTGCAATTGTTGGTTAGTACGCAAAAGATTCACCCTTTACCACAAAATAAGTAAAGTTTTCGAGACCAAGTAAAACGTATGTCAATTTCAAATTCGTAGAACATACTTTTGACTGGAAACAACGCAGCTGGAAAATGAGTCTTACGTCCGCCGCGGGGATAATTTCCCTACTCGATGAGCCGATGCCGGATCTCAAGGTGTTCGCCCTCAAGAAGCTGGACAACATCGTGGACGAGTTCTGGCCGGAGATCTCGGAGTCCATCGAGAAGATCGAGATGCTGCACGAGGACCGCAGCTTCCCCGAGAACAAGCTGGCTGGCATGGTGGCCTCCAAGGTGTTCTATCACCTGGGCTCCTTCGAGGACGCCCTAACGTACGCCCTGGGCGCAGGCGATCTCTTCGACGTGAACGCCCGGAACGAGTACACGGAGACCATCATTGCCAAGTGCATTGACTTCTACATTGCCCAGCGGGTGGAGTTCATCGAGAATCCCAAGGAGGCGAGCGCCGTGGACGAGCGGCTGGAGGGGATTGTGAACAGGATGATCCAGCGCTGCCTGGACGACAACCAGTTCCGCCAGGCGCTGGGCATTGCCCTGGAGACGCGACGCATGGACACCTTCAAGGACGCCATCATGAAGTCGGACGATGTGCGTGGCATGCTGGCATACGCCTATAACGTGACCATGTCGCTGATCCAGAACCGCGGCTTCCGCAACGAGGTGCTGCGCTGCCTGGTCAGCCTGTACCGGGATCTGGGTGTGCCCGACTACGTAAACATGTGCCAGTGCCTCATCTTCCTGGAGGATCCGTACGCCGTGGCCGAGATGCTGGACACCCTCACACGCTCCTCGGTGGAGACCAACAATCTGATGGCCTATCAGATTGCCTTCGACCTGTACGAGTCGGCCACGCAGGAGTTTCTGGGCAATGTGCTGCAGCACCTGAAGAACACCGCTCCCATTCCAACCGCCCTGCCGAGCACATTTAAGCCCCAGGGCACAAGCTCCGAGGAGGGAGCCAAGTCGGAGGGAGACAAGTCCAAGTCTGACGAGGATATCACAGAGGAGAAGCCAGGTGAGCTTATTTTTCTTTACCGCTTTCTATAAACTCTAGAAATCCCTTTTTAATCACCTAGCTGACGATAAGGTAGAGCGCACAATCGATTCCCTTAACGAGGTTGAAAAGCTGCATCAGAAGAACATTGAAAAGCTGATATCGATCCTCTCCGGCGAGGTTTCCATCGACCTGCAGCTGCAGTTCCTCATCCGCAGCAACCACGCTGACCTGCAGGTTCTGCGCGGCACAAAGGAAGCGGTCCGTGTGTCAATCTGCCACACAGCCACTGTCATAGCCAACGCCTTCATGCACAGCGGCACCACCTCCGACCAGTTCCTGCGCGACAATCTCGACTGGCTGGCCAGGGCGACGAATTGGGCCAAGCTGACGGCCACCGCCTCGCTGGGCGTCATCCATCGGGGCCACGAGAAGGACTCGCTGGCGCTCATGCAGAGCTACCTGCCCAAGGAGGCGGGCCCCAGTTCGGGCTACTCCGAGGGTGGTGCCCTGTATGCGTTGGGCCTGATCCATGCGAATCACGGAGCCAACATTATCGACTACCTGCTGCAACAGCTGAAGGATGCCCAGAACGAGAATGTGCGTCATGGTGGCTGCCTGGGACTGGGTCTCGCTGGCATGGGCACCCATCGCCAGGATCTGTACGAGCAGCTCAAGTTCAATCTGTATCAGGATGACGCGGTCACCGGAGAGGCGGCGGGCATTGCCATGGGCATGGTCATGCTGGGCTCCAAGAATGCCCAGGCCATCGAGGACATGGTGTCGTATGCGCAGGAGACGCAGCACGAGAAGATCTTGCGCGGCCTGGCCGTGGGCATCTCCCTGACAATGTTCTCGCGTTTGGAGGAGGCCGATCCCTTGGTGACCAGCCTGTCCACCGATAAGGATCCCGTCCTGCGTCGCTCGGGAATGTACACCATAGCCATGGCCTACAATGGAACTGGCAGCAACAAGGCCATCCGGAAGCTCCTGCACGTGGCCGTCTCCGATGTGAATGATGATGTGCGACGCGCTGCCGTGACTGCCATCGGTTTCATCCTGTTCCGCACCCCGGAGCAGTGTCCCTCGGTGGTGAGCCTCCTGGCCGAGTCCTACAACCCGCACGTTCGTTACGGAGCCGCAATGGCGCTCGGTATCGCCTGTGCCGGCACAGGATTGCGCGAGGCCATCGCCCTGCTGGAACCCATGGTGAAGTTCGATCCAGTCAACTTTGTGCGCCAGGGTGCATTGATCGCCTCGGCCATGATCTTGATCCAGCACACGGACCAAAGCTGTCCCAAGTCCACCTTTTTCCGCCAGCTGTACGCAGAGGTCATTAGCAACAAACACGAAGATGTGATGGCCAAGTATGGCGCTATTCTGGCTCAGGGTAAGTAAAAAATAATAATGGTTTAAGTTTTGTTACGGACTTGATCAGGATTAGTCCTATATATACAGGCCTTGAAAACTCTTACAAAATTTAGCATAAAATATGGCCGTATAATCTAGTTTCTTGATTGTTATTTATAATTTTTGATAGAAGAAAGGTCTTTAAAGTCGGATCTATAAATTAAATTGTATTATTTTTAACTAATTAACTAACTTAATTAAATTTGATTATTTTGTTGTTGGTTACATTCTCTATAAATATACACGCGACCTAAAAATAAAACTTTA